AAAAGATAACATCTTAATTTATTTTAAATTAATTTTATATTTAGTATATGACCATTTTTTAATATGTTTATATTCTTATTTTACATAAAAATTATATGAAAATGGTTGAATATTATAATCGCGAGTTCCGCGAAACTAAGAATATAACATGTATTTTAAAAATAAATTGGGCAAAAATGTTGGTCACCATTGTGCCCAAATTAGACATATTTACTGTGTATTACAATTACATCATCATATAAGAAAAATGATTTTTATTTGTAAAAGTGTAGTGTTGTTAAAAGATACTTTGAAATATAACTAGTTACAGCTACTCGTTACATTGGTAAAAATATAGCTAGTTACAGTTCCCGTTACATTTTTACAAATGTAACTAGTTATTAGTTACAGTTATTTTACAAAAGTATAGTTATATAATAGTTACTTTATACAAGATTCATAAACGCATTATTTATTTACTGAACGCATTTATTTAATATAAAAAAATTAGGATATAATAATTATAATCAATTATTTGAAAAAATATATATTTTATTTATATAAAAAAATATGAAAACCGAAAAAAAATATCAGAAAATATAATATATTTATTAGAGACCTGGAGGCCCGGCCCTAAGCCCAGCACGGTTACACAGGCCGGGAGGTATTTTAATTTAAAATATACTCAGGCCGGGCCTAAAATTTTTTTAAAAAAAATATCCGGGCCAGGCCGTATATTTAAAAACCAAATATTTGAAATAGCTATTATTAGCTATAAAAGTCAAAAATCTGGGCCTGGCCTGAAAATTTAACGTAAGTAATGATTACTAATTTAATAGTTTATTCAAAAATTATTTAATTCTAACTAAGTCTTTGTCGTTCCTTATACTAAGTTCTATGATCTAATTAGTAAAATTTAAAAAAAAACACATTCATATGTAATTCAATAAATATTACCAGCAACTTGAGAGTAAAAAATATTGAATATATTGTGCTAAATAGGGAAATATAATAATAAAAAATAGGTTTATTAATTGAATTGAAAAATTATTAAACCCAGCAACGCAACAATTTAAGAGAAAAAAAATCTATTTGGACGGTATTTTATATTATTGTTGCATATCCTGTATGATTGTGTTCACAAAGGATTTTTTTTTCTCTTTTAGCTTTCACCTTTTCTGGTGGTAAGCTCCGTCAATATCTCCCTCCACTTTATGTTATTCATACTATAGATCTGCAAAGTTAGGCCCGGCCCGTACCCGGCCCGAACGGGCTTCTGGTTAAAATAATCGGTTTGGGCCGGGCCTAATATTTTTGAAAAAATTTTAGGCCTGGTCGGGTCGGACCTTGGAAATTTAATATACTAATAAACGGCTGGCGCGTGCCGATTTTTAGCCGTCGTCAATAAAATCGGGTAAATCGGCGCATATATAGATTTTTATAAGATAAATTTTTTTAATTGCTTATTAATTTTAAAAAAAACAAATGAATATACACTATTCTACAGATATCTAGGCATATTTTTTAATATTCATTTAATAGAAAACTTATTATATCCAAAATCGATTTCGTAATTTAATTATCATGTATAATTATTTTATTAAAATTTTTGGGACATAATGATGATATCTTTGAATTTAACGTCAATCCAGCGGTAGAGAAAACTCTTTCACTAGGTGTGCTAGTCGTCGGAATGCAAAGAATTTTTTTGGCGAGTCTGGAAAGATTAGGAAGTTCACTCTTCTTTTCCCTCCAAAAATTTAGAACGTCCATATCTTGTAATGTCGTTTCAAGAAAACTGTGGCATTCTTGTTCTAAGTCACCTAACTTGGAATCATAATTTATATTTGTTGAATTTAACATCTTCATTAGCTATATTTACTCTTGATTATCATCATTCTCTAGAAGTTTAAGATGTTTTATTATAAATTCTGAAGCTGAGCAATTTTGCTCTATTAAATACTTTGACACAATTGTCAATTTTTAAAATCTTGGATCTAAAAGAGAAGCCAATACCTAGATAATTTTAATTAAAAAAATAAAAGAATATACTTATATAATATTACTTGCAGATTACAAACCGGAAATTGTAACGTAAGTTTTTTTAGCATATTTTCCTTAAGTGAAATAATTTCAGAACTATCACTATCATTTACTATTAAATGTGTTTCACAAAACATTATTTAAATTCTTATTTAATCTAGATATGCTTTCTAGCATAATTAATTTACTATGCCAACGTGTTGGGATATTTAATTTTAAGGTTTTCATATGCGTTGAATGATTGTTACTATTATCATTGGAATTACCAATTTGAAATCGGGTATCCGGGTATGGATCAATGCTGTCAAGATCTAACATGTCTGATGATAAATCTATTGTACAGGTATTTTCTTTGATATTCCTCGAATTCAAATTCGACCTCTGCAGTTTTATATCTTAGAGCAGTAATAATTCTCTAATTCTTTTGCAAAAAATTTCCAGACTATGGATTTTTTATTATCCAGAATTAGGATACTAAAATTATTTAAATTATTAAAGTAGATGCATCCATTTTAAAAATATGTAAAATTATGGTAACTTTTATAATTTTATATTTTTGAATGATGGAATTCTATAATGACGACAATATAATTAAGATTTTAAAATAGTAGAAAATAAAAATTCATCAAAATCCTGATTGACATTAAAAAATTTCAGAGTGATGTTGACCATTAGAATAAAAAGATAGAAAGAAATTTCTGCGCCGGCCGTGCGCCGCCAATATGAAAATCGGCGGCGTTATAGGCGTAACCAAAAAGGTCGGCGGCCGGCGCACAGGTCTAATTATATCTAAATTTATATTGAATTTTTTATGTAAAATAAAATTTTTTGATTTAATTTATTGAAACTAAACGCTATATAATATGTATTTTATTTTAAGTAATTATAAAAATTAATTTCTATATTTAAATAAATTCGGGCTTGGCCAGGCCGGTAAAATATTTTAAAATAAATTTCGAGTTCGTGCTGGCAAAACTTTTTAAAAAAATTTTGGGCCGGGTTTGAAAAATTAGGCCCGATGCAGATCACTAATTCATACTATCTCGTTTATCTAATTTATACTTCTTCATATAGGCTCAAAGATAAAAAAAATAATTTAAAATTAAATTATCACACCCTTGAATCGGACTGCCCACCTGATAATTTTATTGTAATGGGCAAAACTAGCTTTACCCACCTAGGTTCACCCATTTAATGTGAAAGTGCTTTATTTCATTTCAGATATGAATTTCTTGTCAAATTCAATAGAATGAAAAATATTTACTTATTTTTTATTCATACCTAAAATTTTACATGCCTTTCGTTCATCAACAATTTCCATGTCTGAAATATTATTATACCTTGATGTTCATTTTAAAAGTACTCTCTAATCTATATTAAATTCTCTACACTCTTCAGTATGCAAGCTGCCTTTCCATAAAAGCTAGGCGGTATAGGTCCATTCCCCAATATCCTTAAGAATTTAAGTTTATCCTCAGTAGCTAAATTTTCATACACACTTGGAGACTATAGAATCCCCATCATTAAACCTATGGGAAAAAGATTCTCCAAGCCGCTCATATCCTAATTTAAGACAAAGAGACTGGAATTTACCATTGCGTTGAATACTCACACTTCAAAGAAAATCTCCATCGCTCTTTCTTCCCTCAAACCCTCGAGTATATAAAATGACATTACGACTCTTTTGCTGGATCAAATAATTCCAGCCTCAGCCATATTGGTTACGAATGGTTAGAAACTATACCAAGTTCTAATTTAGGCTTGTTTATTAACAAACGAAGAACTTAGAATAGCTATAGGTCATCGTTTTGTGAAATCGTAACGCCGACATCATATTTCCCTTGTGAGCTTTAGACACCCCACCCCCCTCCATACTGTTGCTTTTCAAAAGGCAAATTATCCAGGCACTATGCCATCAATAGAATCTTAAAACCCGCCAATATTCGTTCTACATTGGAACCCTCTGGCTTCAGCCCCGCAGGCCTAACCTAATACATTATTTTATTTCTCTTTAATTATATATTTTTACATAGCATTATAATTAATAGTTATATTTTTAAAAATATTCTTAAGTGGTTAACCCATAGGGTTACCAGATCCTGCTAGTGGAAAAGATGACATATTTTTCTCATGATTTAAAATAAGGGGTTAAAAAATGAATAATTTTTAAGCAGTATTTTTATATAAATAATTAAAATAGTACACTTATATAAATTACAAATCATAAATAACACAACAGTTATTTTCCATAATTTGGCCTTTTTCCAAAACTATATAAAGTCATTGTAAGCTGATATAGTAAAAAGCTTGCTATAATTAGCAGTTCACTATCTTGTATAAGAATATAATCTCAAAGAATTGATCATTATTCAAAAATTTTGTTCAACACATCTAATTGTTTAAAAAAAACGATTTAAAATAGTGATATTGGTTGAACAACTTTCACTGTTTTAAAGATTTTTATTTAAAAAAAACCACTTAGAAACATTTTTAATTTGCATCCAATGAAAATGTTCAAATTTTCCAAGAGATCAAAATAAATTAATTCTATACATACCTGTATTATTTTGTCATTTTTAATGTTTCAAATACTGCTTATTTTTTATTACATATTATCAAAAAATATTTTAAATGATTTAACATTTCAAATCTGAATCATTTTCTTTCATTTAATTTTTTCATCAAAACACATGCAAACCAGAGATATGCTTAATTCATATAATTTTCTGATAATTGGTGGATTGTTAATTGAAAGAAAGTATATTAATGCTTAATTCAATAAATCGTTGAACACAAGGAAATAAAAAAAGCCATCATGTCATTGAGTGATAAAGAAGTTGTTTATAATAATCATGTTCAACAAATTTACATAAGTATATGAAAAAATATAAAAAACATATCTTACTATGTATTATGTGATCATAAAAAACTTTTCAGTAATATCTAAAAAAATGAGAAAAGTAAAATAGATACCAGAAATATTTTTAGTCATTTCAAAAGAGAATGTCTAGTTACCCAATTCACACAAAAATTTTTTGTCCTAGTATAACCCATAAATTTTTTTAACATGTTTTATATGTATACTATACAAATTTATGCAAGCTAATGGTAAAAATTAATTTTAAATCTACCAATAAAATATTGTAACCTTTAACTTAAATTTCAATTATATGTAGCAATTGTTTTCTAGTATAAATCGCTTAGAAAGTATAAAAATTAACCCAAAAAATAATATAATAATTGTGAAAATTCAGTAGAAAGTATAAAAGTGCTCTAAATGGTTATTTTGGTTCAAAAGCTCAAGGGGAGTATAAGAGCTGTTTCATAAATGACAATAAATCTCTATATTATTTAGAAAAGAATATGATATAAAATTTTGAACATTTTTAATAAATATTAAATTAAACTATGTCATTATAATTTTCTTTTTCAAAAACTGATTTGAATTATATTTTTGACTTTTTAATATGGCAGAAGCTCTCTTTTGTGCACACTATAATATAACTAATATAACTTTTAATGATTTCATTAAAATTTACTAAATTTAAATTGTAATGATATCTTCCTTTCATATTGTTATAAATTGACTTTAAAATTCTTCTATTATCTTTTTTGAGAGTAACTTTATAGAATCTCTTGACAGGTCTTCTAATCACTAAAAATATTTAAAATTATACAATGTAAATAAATCTAATACCTTTAGGTTTGGACAATTCTAAAACTACCCCTTTGCCATCGGCCGCTGGTGTTACACCAACTGTTCGTTTATGAATCAAGCCATTATATTTATATAAGTTCATATTTTTTAAATTTCTTGATTCCTAAATATATTTTATAAGGAATTTGTTCTAATTTTAATTATTTAAAAATTATAAAATTTATTAAATAATTAATAAATATAATAATTTTCCTTCACACATTGTCCTTATGTTTTATAATTAAAAACAAAATGGTAAGCAGATGAAGGTTTATATTAAATATTAAAATTATTATTTCATTACTTTGCTAAAAGCTTTCCTACAATTTCTTGATTTCATAAGAAAACAAGAATCATTCTTAATAACAAGCCATTGCAAATGTGAAGAAGCCATAAGTAAGAAAAAAGGATATGGAAAAATCTGATAATAAGTAACTCCCTAGAAAAGGCTTAAAATAAATAATTTCTTTTTTTTATGACATATAGATTTATTATAATATTAGTCATTAAATTTATAAATTCATCAATATCTTTGATAATTTAATGATAATATCTATATTAAACTTATTGAAAAATATATTATTATAAATTAAATATTACCAGCTTCAAGGTTTCCTTATATTTTGAAATTCATTTTATAATTGTTATATAGTTATATTCATTCAGTCAAGAAATTAAGAATATTAAGAAAATATGACATTAATATACATTGGGCCACGCACCAGGCTTGGTATGCATTATATTGGTTTGGTTATGATATGGCTTTTTAATTATTAGGACGTTTGATTAAGCTTCTACCAATGGCATAAGGAGAAAGGGATACGACCCCTGATTATAAAAATTAATGGAGGTAAGAGACAATATTGAGTATGTATTAAATCGACTATGTACTTAAATGGCGGGATCTTCAGAAACCGCTGAACACCATTTCAGGCCAAGGATTACGATCCTAGTCAGGTTCACTGATAATTTAAAGAAGACTCCAAGTCAATGATATCATCAGATATGATAATGAATATAAGATATTCTTATATAATAATTGTGACTGCATATTGAAATATGAATAAATAAAATGTTATGAAATAATTAATAGATATATTTATGAGACATTATAGTAACATATTCATCATAGGCGTAGCCGGGGGAGGGGGGGGGGGGACAAGGGGAAATTTCCCCCTTCAGAAATATGTCACTTTTTGTAAATATCATTTTAAACTATTAAATAATTTCTTCCTTAGTTCTCTCTTCACCATTGTCCCCCAAAAATGTATGCACATATCTTAAACAATAATTTGAAAGAAAGAATGTGAAAGTTATAATAATGTTTTATACTAAAACTGTTAACTATAATTCATATTTTTTAAAAAGAGGTTTATATATAAAAAAAGGTGAAACCAAACAGGGGAAATTTCCCCCCCCTTCAGAAATTTATCACTTTTTGTAAATATCATTTATAGCTAATAAAAAATATCCCCCTTAGTCCTCTCCCCACTCCCTGACCCTCATATATGTATGCATATATCTTAAATAATAATTTAAAAGAAAGAATGTAAAAGTTGATATTTTTTTTATAAAACTATTCATCATAATTTATAGATTTTTGAGAAAATAAATTTATAAATATATAAAATGAACCAAAAATGTTTTTTAATAAATGGAATATAGGCCAAGGATAAGTCTTAAGACAGAAGTGAAATGTATTATAATTATTAATAATAGATCTATAAAATTACTAAATAATATAATATATCAAATATAGTTTTTTATAAAGTGAGTAATTTTAAATTTATTTATCTCAATAAAAGTAAAATATAATTATAAAACTATTGATAAAATTAAATCATAAATTAAAAAAATATTAAAGCACAATATAAACAGTGGAATATTATATGTCGTCGATTTACAATATATCTAATTATCAAATGACAATCAAGTATTTTTACCAATATAGCGAATTATATAATTTTTTATAAAGTGAGTAATTTTAATTTATTTATCTCAATAAAAGTAAAATATAATTATAAAACTATTGATAAAATTAAATCATAAATTAAAAAAATATTAAAGCACAATATAAACAGTGGAATATTATATGTCGTCGATTTACAATATATCTAATTATCAAATGACAATCAAGTATTTTTACCAATATAGCGAATTATATATTTTACAGAAAACTATAAAATATTGATAAGGACATCAGAAAATATCTTTTAAAGACATTGTGGGATAAATAATATGAAGATTAAATTTATATATACTTAAATAAAATAGATGGCGTATGCATATTATTGCTATATTTAATATTAAGAGCATTGATTAGTAAATTTTGTCATATTATTAACTGTAATATATTCTCTAACTGTCAAATATGTCTGTAAAATTGGAATTTTACCTAGTATTTTATAACTAATTCTATATAATAGGGTAAAATCAACTATATGTCTACTTACTTATTATAAATAAATTTCTTATAATTGTTTGGAATAAATTATTACCATGCTTTTATATTAAGATATATACAATACAAGTAATTTATTATATTTTTATTTTATATAAACTAATAAAAATTATTTCATATTTGTTCCAGGCTTATTTTTTTTATTAAAATTTGTAAAAATATTTTATGACTATATATAGGTTAAAGTAACCCGGCCGAAGGCCGGGGAAAAGCGGGCCGAAGGCCCACCCAAAAGGGGGTCTGGGGGCGAAGCTTCCAGTACTTTTTTGATTTCTCCCCCCTTATGAAAATCCTGGCTAAGCCTATGATATTCATAGATGTTAATGGTTAAGCTTTAGCTACTTTTTCATTGATTATGGCTATTAATCCTAAATATCTATATTTACTATTAATAATTAGGCGCTTTTAATTCATAATCATTTGATATTCGGCTAAACTTTACCTAAGTCATTTAAATTTAGCCGCTTCCCCATCTATACTCATAGTAATAGGCGTAGCCAGGGGTGGGCAAAGGGAAATTTCCACCCCCCCCCCCCCCCATTCAGAAATTAGTCACTTTTTGTGAATATAATTTTAAGCTTATAAAAGTAACTCCCTTAGTCCTCCCCCCACTCCCTGACTCCCAAAAATGTATGTGTTGCAAATGTTGAATTAAAGAGAAAAATAAAAATGTTTATTTATTTCCAAGAGATGTCAATCAGATTATTATTCTTTTAATAATATGTTTTTATTGTAAAAGAAATATTTTATTCAGTGTGTGATTTTTTATGCTTTTTTTATGAGATTATTAATATATATAATTTTGAATGTGAAAAATAAATTAATAATAAAGTGCAATTGTTGTCTTAAATTTCTATATGTAAAAAAGTATGCATAATAGCTTAAACAATAATTTGAAAGAAAGAATGTAAAAGTTAATATTTTTTTATATAACTATTCATCATAATTTATATGTTTTTGAAAAAAAAACATTTATATATAAAAAAAAGTGAATCAAAAATGTTTTTTAAGCAATGGAATATAAGCCAAAGATAAGTCTTAAGACAAAAGTGAAATGTATTATAATGATTAATAAAAGATCCATAAAATTACTAAATTATATAATATATTAAATATAGTTTTTTATAAAGTGAGTATTTTAAATTTATTTATTTATAAAAGTAAAAATAATTATAAAACTATTGATAAAATTAAATCATAAATTAAATAAAAAAATTAAAGCACAATAACAGTGGAATATTATATGTCGTAGATTTACAGAATATCTAATTTTATCAATTATCATATGACAATCAAATAATTTTTACCAATATAGCGAATTATATTTTACAGAAACCTATAAAATATTGATAAGGACATCAGAAAATATCTTTTAAAGACATTGTGGGATGAATAATATGAAGATTAATTTTTAATATTAATTTTATTTAATATAAATAGATGGCGTTAAATATTTGAATGCAAATTGTTGCTATATTTATTATCAAGAGCATTAATTACTAAAATTTGTTAAGATATTAACTGTAGTATATTTACTAACTGGCAAATAAATTCTATATAATAGAGGAATATCAACTATATGTCTACTTACATTTTATAAAGAAATTTATTATACTTGTTTGGAATAAATTATTACCATTCTTTTATATTAATGTATATACAAATTTACCATTTAATTTATATTTGTTAATTACTTCGTAACCTACTTACAATATCTTTATTACTATCAATTTAGTTTTGAAAAAACTTAAAAATTCAAAAATTCCATTTTTTAAAAATTGTATTCATATAAAATCATAACGAAATATAATTTAATCAAAAATTTAATTTAAAAATTAATATGATAATATTAAATTAAAACCGCAAATTATTACAAAGAATTAATAAAAAAATTGAAAAGATCTTAAAATTTCCAATTTTTTAATATATTATAATGTAATGTTAATATAATATTTTTCTCATAAAGAAAGCAATAAATCAATCAAAATTCTCATTAATCATTTTCTTTGTTATTTTTTATTTTCAATATTATTTTTTAGCCTTTCTTATCATGCAGCCTATAGACCTTGCGTAGTTAAGTAAGTGTTTTTCACTTAAAAAAAACGATTGATACAATAAAAAAAGAAATATTGTTATTGATCATTTAAATAATTATGATTATTCTTTAGTTTGTTTTTGAACAAAAATTTTAAATTCCATTGTTTAAATTTCTTACCCGCCCATTCTCAAAAAATTATTACCCGCCCATTTGCCCACCCACTTAGATGGGCGGGCGTGGGCGGGCGGACAGAACGCCGCCCAATGCACACCTCTAATTTTCATATAATATAGTAAGGTTAACCATCAGGAAGTAGTGGTGATAAATGGCTCCATTTTTAGAAAGTTTTGAACCGACTCTAAATAAGCTTAACAGAATTTTTAAACGAAAACGATAATCTTATACTCAATAGAGGCCTAAACTTAAAGGATAGCTCAATCAAAATAGTCAACTCGTACCTCAAGGCATAGCAAATTTTTACTGCTGTTAAGATTGAACCGATTTAATAATACTGTAGGCAAGAAATAGTCAAATTTTAACAAAATCTTTAAAATATTTAAATGAATTTAAAATTTTGAAATAGGGGAGTTGTTAGGATTAATTAATCATTCTACTTTGAAAGAAACAATAAATTAGGATATTTTATTTTATCAGGTTCTATGGTGTCATTTTGTCTAAACAATTTTTTTTGATTGATTGTTATTTAAAAAAATTAAATCATTAAAATATGCCTAATAAAAAGTTATTTTAAAAAATTCCTTGTTAATTCTTGGTTGATACTGTTGCAGTACTGTAATTGTGAAAAAGGCTTTTTTTCATCTTATAAATTTTGCATGATAGATAATCGATTGAATTCAAGAGAAAATAATTTGTCAAATTTAATATTTATAAATATAAATGGACCTTCGTTATATAATGGATTCCAGATCCATGTATTAAAATTGGGAAAAATTATCGCGGGGCAAATGAAATCTTTTTAAATAAAATACAGCCCAATGGAAACGAAGAAATGTTATATTTATGGAAAATTAAAAATTATAGCCCTCCCCCCCCCCCCCCATTTCCGTCAATTTTTTGAGCAATACACTACTGATAAATTATCTATCTTGTATTAGTCATGGATATTTGGGGAAATAAAACTAAAACTTTTAATAGTAGTGTGAAATTCAATTAGGGGTATTCATCAGTTTTTTGAATTGAATATTTTAAGGAGTAGGGGTAACAATTATTGTGGCAGTAATGAAAATTTTTTAAGGGGTAGAAGGTAACAAATTTAGGGTGACGGGGGCAAAATCTGGGGGTGAAATTAAGATTGTCATGGATTTATTGGGTCTTAGAAATAACGGGCGATCATTATTACTGAAGTTAATAAATAAAAATTTATTTACATGTCTATTTTATTACCATATAGATATTTTTGCAGCATTTTTAATTAAATTATTTAGTACTCTGACAAAATTGTTTACTCAAAACTTTCAATCTGCCCCATGATATTACAAAGGAGTTGTTAGAAGAGGAGAGAATAGCAGGAAAGCGAGTAAAACAAATTGTAAATGAAATGAAATGAATACATAACATTTCAAAATATAAATTTTAAATCAATAATCTACCTTATTCTTTCCTTTATTTTCTTTTTATTACCTCCTTTTTCTTTTGTGCTTTCCTTTCTTTTCTTTTCTTAGCTATTTTAAATTCAAAAATATGCTCAAAATAAAATTATAGGAAATTTTATAAATTTCAAAAATTTAACTTATTATTTTTATTAAAATTTGCTTATATCGATTTCACGTGCAAACTACTAGATTCAATTCCAATTTGAGTCTAATTTTGCCGAACTTGGGTCTGTAGACTAAACCCAATATTTACTCAGGCTCGGCCGGATTCAAATCTTGATTTTAAATTTTCTTCGGAGAATCGGAAGCGGGCCTCAACAAAATTTTAATTTTGATTAATGTTTTAATGAATATTATTTTTAAAAATGATCACAAAATTGTTTATTATTAGTGTTATTGCTCTATTTGAGCCCTTCCTTCAAAGCTTATAATTGTTTCAATCTCGTTATGAAAATCGCAGTCCCTGATTGTGATATTTCAGTAATACCAAATAATCGGCTTTTATAACTCCATAAAAGCTGTTACTGCTTGATGGCGAAGACTCTATCTCGTTTAACAAGCTTGCAATTTCTTTCTCCCTGTTGGACAAAGAGTTTAAATAATTATTATTTGACTAGAAATATGAAAATGGTTGATAAATATTAAGCCACTAAAAAATTGAAAATAATAAGTAAATATTACGCCGGAAAACTTGAAATCGAAATTAATTGATAAAATAACTTAGTAGATGAATGTGATAAATAAATGTAATTAAATATTTAATATGAGATAGGAATAAATATTAACAAATATAAATTAATATAAACAATAATATTTTTGAAAAATATATCCGGCATCTGCATTTTTTGGCTTGGGAGTGGGGGGATTTGTCCCCCTGCCCCCCCCGCTGCGTACGCGCCTGCCATTTTGATAAAAAAAAATATAAACTATAATTTTACTAAAATAATTTCGACCAAAAAAAATACTAATAAATACATAAAAAAAATTATAAATAATTTTAGTTATAATTAAAATTCACTATTTAATTCCAATTGTTCCTCAACCTCGATTATGGTATACCGTTTTAGAGTATAAAAGAGTAAAATTAACATTATTAATCTAAATTTATTATGTGATAATTACCTAATTAATCGGGTGTTCGCAATAACCCAGCTCAAAATGTTGGTGCATATGATAGCCATAGTTTGTAAAATCATAAGGAATGAATTCAGGTAAAAGAGTTGAACAATTTTCCTCAAATTTCGACTCTTGAATTAAGTAAGAAGATTAATTGCTCAAAATTTATTATTGAAGACCCGTCAAAAAATTTCGAGCAGGTTTAGTTGGGGCGTCGCAGTTTTTAACAAAATCTCTACCGAAATCATTAAATATTTTTAGGGCGGATTGACTTGTTTCTAGAGATGTCTAAAATATTAGTTATATCTGTTATAAAATAATAAAAAGAAAATATTCATCAATAAAATATATTACTTTCCAAATTCCAACTAATTATGTACATTTTTTAATTAATACTTTTATATCAATGAAAAAAAATTCACTCATAATATTTTTTAAGATGACACAATGATGGTCTTTATAGAAAAGAAATTTTATAAGACAAAATCATCCTCGTAAAAAAATGAAGATATTTGAGCTAATTTTTTCTGTAAAAATATTCATTTTAAGAAATATTATAAAAATATATTTATAAAAAGAAAATATTCAGCAATAAAATATCTTCCTTTCCAAATTCCTACTAATTATGCGCAAGCGATTTACATTTTTTTTATCGAAAAAAATACCTCCTAGTGTTTTTAAGATGTCACAATGATGGTCTTTATAGAAAAGAAAAATACTTAATATCATTCTTTCAAATATCCTCAAGTAAAAGAATTTGATTCCATATTATTCACCGAATCTTATAAGGCAAAATTATACTCACAAATAAGTTAATAGATATATTCCATTTATCAAAAAGAAATTTTTTTAAAATTAAAATACTCTATTTAAAATGGACTTTGTTCGATTGAATGGTAAAAAATTGAATAAAAAATATAATTAATGTTGTTAACTTATTTTGTGGTCTCATAATATGAGTTTCTGTTCGAAAACAACGAGAACGACAAACCCTGTATGTTCATCCTTCACTAGATTTTGCATATTTATAAAAACATAAAAATTTATAAACATATATTTTTTAAAATTATTTAACATGATGGTTAATTTACAAAACATCCTTTGTTTACCTATTTTTATATTGACTTTATAAAATGACATATTTTTCACCGCATGATTAACCAGAGTAAAAAGAAAAAGAATATGCTAGAATAAGTATCTAAAGCCAAAACAAATTTTTATATTTTTTAATATTTCAGATATTTGGTAAATATATAACATTATATCTAAAATTTCAATACAATCAAAAAATTGGTAATTTTTTTTAATTTCGAAGTATTTTTTTTTACATGAAAATTTTTTTTAATTATTATTTTAAAAAATTTTATTTTTTTAATCCTAAAATAGGATTGGACAATTTATTAAACTTCAATATGTTCGTTAACATATGTCACAAATATTAATTATAATATGACATTCCACAATAATCAAGAAGCAGATTCAACAAAACAATAATTTTTTTATTTATATAAGCTTTTTTATTTTTTTGTCAGATATTGTATTTAAATGTGGTTAAATAAAACTGACTTTAAAAAATAAACTAAATTTTAAAAAATTTGTCAAAACAAATGGCAATTATTATTAGTGGCAATATTCTGATCAACTCTTTACTTTTACTAGCATTATTCTATTATACATTCAGTGATATTACGGTACCGGGAGAAAGTTTACAATAAATATATGAAATTATTAAATTTATAAAATACCTTACTCTTGTAATAGTATATATATATCAGAGACCTTCATGGGCCTTAATTTTTTGACCAATCCCGGCCCAGGCCCGCAGTAAAAAAATTCTTTTGGCCAAGCCCGGCCCATATTTAATGTTAAAAAAATTCCCAAGCCCATAATAAGTTTCACAAAAATTTGCCAAGCCCGGCCCAAGTCCATATACAAAAATTTAATTTTTTTTATTTAATGAAAATTACCAATATTTAAATATATTTAGGCAATCGTTTTGTTTACAATACTGAAATTTATTATTGTTAGAAGAAAAAAAGGTAAAATTTCATTAAATTAGCAACTGTTTTAAATAATCTAAATCTAAATTTAATAATTTTAGGCCCAAACCTAGCCCAAGCCCATTAAAAAAGAAACTACCCAGGCTCCGTCCAGACCCGCTAGAAAATATGATATTAGCATGCGGGTCGCGGGCTGGCCCGGCCTACGAAGATCTCTGATATATATATACAGGCTCCTGATGACTATATCGCTTATATAATATTAGTAGTAATACATTGGGGCATAAATTTTTTTTTTAAAATTCGAATTCTTATTAGAAAGAAGGGGATTGAGCTAAATATCACATCGGCTGAGTACTGTAGTATTTATCCACCTTTTTTGCAAAATGTTTTTTTTGATAAATGACTTCTTCAGTACTATATTCTTATAATATCCACAATAAAAATATTAAAATATGATCGAGAATAATCTTTTATTTGCATAAACAATTCCGACGATATATAAATACTATAGTTCGAGCTTTCAAGTGTTATATTTAAACGTAAATCTTTTAATGATAATTTTTTTTTATACAAAAAAAAATGAATCAAAGACGACGCATTTTGGTATGACAAGGCCTACAAAAGTATTCGGCGAGCAGAAGAAGTACGAGGGAGACGATGCGGAAGATCCGAGTTAAGGCAGAAGGCCATGGCTAAAAATGTAATATTATTTTTAGGAGACGGTATGGGCATGTCTACCTTAGCCGCTTCTCGCATATTGAAAGGCCAAAGGATGAATAAAACTGGAGAAGAGACTTACTTGATATGGGAAAATTTTCCCAACGTCGCCTTTTCCAGGGTATAATAAAAAATTGATAAATTCAATCGAATTAAAAAAAAATTATGCGTTTTTAATAAAATTTAATTATTGTTTTATTTCTTTCTGTAAAATGTATATTGTTACCTACAAATGCACCAATTTGGTTAAAATGATGTTTAGGTAAACAGTATTATATTATAAGTCATATGGGTTTGTAATCTATTTATTTTTAGGCTTGGTCTTGCGCTTATTTTATTTTGCAGTGTTGTGATGATTTAATGAAACATATTGACGATTAAATTAAAACCCATTCATATAAAATTATAATCTTTGCAAAAATAATTAAAAAGCATTATTGAAATTTCTTTTATTATTCCTTTTGTTATTTTAATTATTTTTGCAAATATTATAATTTTTTATGAATGGGTTTGAATTTAATCGTCAATATGTTTCATTAAATCATCACAACACTGTATTTTGGGAATTTTTTTAAAATTAAATTTAAAAAAAACAATATTAAAATAACATGTAAAAAAAAATCATTTAAACAATTTATAAAACAAACAAATGGAAAAACTATATCAAAAACATATGGGGGGGGGGGGGGGGTTAAATAATATTTAAAAAAAACTAATTGCCTTAAATATTTAATATGCCCAGGCCCGACCTGAATTTCTTAAAAGAGAATTGAAATATTTTCTATTCGGTAAGGATAATTCATTAATTAAAACATGAATTTTTTTTTGGAAAATATTTGTATTTTTTTGATCCCCCTTTTCTCAGTAAACTTATTGGTGCAATTTAATTATAAATAAAGGTTTAATTTTTTGAAAAATTCATTATATAAGACTTACAGCACTGATCATCAAGTATCAGATTCGGCTGGAACCGCTACTGCTATACTCTGTGGGGTTAAAACAAAGATGAGCGTCATAGGCATAAATGACTCTTGCACGGTTAAACAATGTGATTCGATTGAGCGGTCGAGAATTACATGTTTATCGGATTGGTTCATAAGTCAAGGTTTGTCAAATTTTCATCTCCATTTTTTGGAGTGATTAGAGCTAAAATAATTGAAATTTTATCTTTAGTAGCCTTTTATTCTGATTACTCTGCAAAAAATATTAAATTATCCAGATAAAAAAAGGGCTGTGAATTCAATCCACGAACCCTAACACTCTGAACCCTCATGTTACTATTGAATCCTACTCTGGACCGAACCTCTTTATAAATATTTATAGGGTTCAGTTCAGGGTAAAATATTTACTAGAATCATTGTGCATTTACTTCATTTTTTTTAACCTTTGTTTTTATTTTAGAAAATTTTAAATCTTAAGAATATGCAACCCATATTTTTTTTACCCCAAAATTATCCTAACAAAAACCTCACCTTTAGATTTAAGAAAATACACAGCCCAGAAAAAAATGATATACATATATATATAGAACTGGGTAACTGTTCTATGTGATAACTAGCGCTTTAGTCCTAAAATTTGCGGCGAGGGCGCATACATGTACTCTAAAATAAATAGTTAGGGACATGAATTTTTTTGCTGAATTTGAGATGAAATTATTGTATATCGAAGCATTTCATATAATAAGTATATATTACATAAAGAAAGATATAATTTTTTAAAATGAATTTCATAATTATATTAAAAAAAATATAATATAATGCAAAAATCGGAATATCAAAAAAATGGTGAAAAATTTTCGTGTTTGTTTAAATAATATAAATTTTACAATGATTGATTTAAACAGGGGCATGGCAAGAATTTTTCTGGGGGGGGGGGGGGGTAATATTAGATGAGTTCCTTCCCCATAATTTTTATTTAAGGTCTTTAAGTTCACTTATTACTAAATTATTATTCATTTATCTTTAAAACATGTAAACAAAATATAAAAATAAAAAATGAATATATATATATATATTAAAAGTGAATGTATATTTTAAAAATATCGATGGCTCTAAAAAGAGCTTATAGTAAAAATGTTCCTAAAAAACAGGTATAATTATGTTTAAAAATTTCTAATTGGAGTTTTTGTTTAAGAAAAATTGATTCGCGTTTTTCGTTGTAAAGTTAAAAATTTTACATGATAAAATTTTTTTTTAAAAAATATGTTGATTGTGAGAAATTGCCATTAGTTGAAATGACTATAGGTTGAAAAATAAAGTTATTTAGTATTGAGTATTTATTAATTTTTTTATTTTCCCCGCTAGTAAGAGGGTTTGAATTAATTGATGAGGGAAAGAAAGAGACGCAGGTTGCGTCCCAAATTAGGGATTTCCCATTGGATCATGGGGTGCAGGTTAAACCGTCGGGTCTGAGACCATCTTGTAAAGAGAGGTTTGTTGGTTCTAGGATGTTAGGTATTTTAGCCTTATTAAGAGCGTTATGGATGATTTTATTTATAGCTTTATGCCGGAGGTGGCGACCTTGGCTGTGGGAGCAGTTTAGGCCGTGTCTTGCGTTTGGTTGAACGGGTAGGTTGCAAAGGTGGCAAGTGTGTGAATGTGTAAGCGAGCATCCAAGTCTAAATCCTATTTTCAAAATTTTTTGAATAAACAACGTTTATCTAAACTGAAAATATGTTTTTCATAAGACTTGCATACAAATTTATTATATAGACATTTATAAAGTGAAAGCCTGGCATTCGGCAGTATACTACTTAAAATTATGTTAAAACAATTTTGAAACTCTTGCAAATCACGGAGTTATTACTTTTAGTATTATCATCAATATATTCCCTCATCCCATTTGTTGCGAGATCCGCATCGAGCTTTAGTCTGAAATAAGGTCGTTTAATTTTCTATTCCCATACCGAATGCGAAAGTCTAGGCCAGTTTTCGTTTTCTATATATTCCGAATTAGATAAGATAGCTAATAAACAGATAAAACTATATAGTTTTATAATTCTTTTAATTATTAAAATTTGGGAATTAGCATTCATTAACCCAATTTTCATATGGTCCATTTCTATTAAAACAGTAATGAATTGATTTCCTTTGATTTCACAATGTCTCCTGTTTTTCTTCAATATTACTAATACAAATTTACTTATTTCCCTAGAGTCTTTTGAGCTATTTTTATATGTACACCTTTAGGAATATTAAATTAACGTTCATTTAGATATTATAAAAGAGATTACTAACCTATGGGACCGATCATTAAACCATTGTAGAACACGAATCGTTCACTTTATTTATTTTCAGCTTTAGAAAAGCTGTTTTTGTCTACAGTTCTAACTACAGATTGGATAATTCAAATACGACATCATATATCATGGCGAGATCTGATAAATTTGTAACCAAGGACAGTCTATTATATAACTCTTGTTAGATTCAGTTGAATTTAATTTTTGAGCGTATAAAAAGTCTCACAATAATTCAAACTACTTTTAAATTACAAAGACTTCTAAAAAACCATCGTATATCAAGTACCCGTCCAATTTTCAGTGACCGAATGCCCAATTCAGACGCTATCATATTTAAAGCTTAATTTTGATAAGGGCTTTAAAGTGATTAACATCAGTAACACTTTTTATAGCATCGGACACCTCTAATTCAAAACAATGATTTAAAAAATGCCAGGATATAATCGTTGGATATTGCGCACAAAGGTGCATTGGCACGCCAGATTTCCTCCCAGTCATGATACTGACTCCATCGCTAACCCAAGAAATCCAATTTTTTGCAAAAAATATTCAGAAAACCCGGCGAATATAATTTGTAACTTTTTCATTATTAAACCCTCCTAGTCTACACTGATTTCATTTCCCTATTTCTACTCTGTTTTTAAGGACCAATTTAAAGAAGGGTTTTTTGGAATTAAAAATGTAAAATTTTACATTAATACATTACGCATTTTGTTTCTAAAATCTTAATATTTATTTAATGATAAAAAATATCCCCCCTATTTTAAAAAGGAAACGCTAATTATTTTTTCAAATTGAGAGCAGCATTACACGCCCTAGCGTTCTCCCTCCCCTCAACTACAGTCCTGTAGACAACCAGTCATTTTAAAAAAATATTCTTTTTAAGTGAAAACCGAATTATGCTCCTCTTTAATTTTGTCATCTTTAACAATTGGTGATTATTTTAAAGCTAATTGGTTTCTTTTTTAACCTTGCTAAGTTTTGAAAAATAAAATTCAAGGATACATTCTATCAGAAAAATCGAATCAAAAAATTCATGTCAACCAATGTAATTTAATATTGGTTTAGCAAAAATGATAAATGTAATTTTTTTTATTTATTAAACAGCAAATAATAAAAAAAAATTAGCTATATAAATATTCGATCGTAATCCCATTTTAAATTTCATACATTATTTTTGTTAAAAACCAATTAAAAAAACAAGCAATTTTTTGTTTGAAAATTTAAAAACTTCCACAGATTACGCTAAATTATAGAATATGTATAATGTAAACCTAGATTAAAAAAAAGAAGTAAAATCTTTATTTTATTTTTAATGTGTATTATAAAAAGGGAAATCTGTGGGATTTGTAACTAATACCCGTATAACTCATGCCACCCCCAGCGCACTCTACGCCAAATCCGCCGATAGGCACTTAGAAGGGGAGAAAGATTTTGCTACTTATAAAGTTAATAGGACGCAGGAGATGATAGAAAAACAGTCTTGTATGGACATTGCTTGGCAATTGGTAAATAGGTTCCCAGGGAATGCTTTAAAGGTTTCTAGATATAAACATATTCCAGATGGATTTAAATTAAATAAATAATTTTTGACATACTCAAATATTTTTTATTATAAAAAGACACATTTAAAATAAAAACAGCCATGTTCTACACCTCTCCCATCTGGTGATTTATAATAGCTAAAAATTAACCCATTGGTTTATTTAAAATTATATTTCGCCATTTTCCCCACAAATACATAAAACTTGTTAACGTCATCTTTATCCAAATAGCCACATGCACCAGTAGACAATGTACATTCAACACCTCAACCTTTTTAAAGCGTTGGATCATAAAAACAGAATCCAAACTATGGAGGCCAAATTCTTATTTTTAAGGCAAAAAATAAAAAATTTTTAAATTAAACAACTACTTCTTTTTAAAGATTCAATTATGTTTTTCTTAATTGTATGCCTCCCTTTAAGAATATTCTTGTATATTATCTAGTTTTCTTTTAAATTTTATCTTGTTCTTATAATATACTACAAATCTAAGAGACCTGCAGGCCCGGGGTACACGGGTCGGACCGTATTTAAATTTTTTAAAAGGTCTCTGACATATATAAAACAAATTAATTCTTATAATTTTAAAAGTGTTTTTTTAAAACACTTTTGATAAATGGAAGAATAAAATATAACAATTTAAGTAAGACTACAAATAAGATAAAAACTTCATATATTTGTATAATATCTAAAAGTCTATATACTATGTATTATATAGACACATCGTTTATTTTTATAGAAACATAGTGACCTAACATTGTTTTTTTTTGCCTTGTTAACTAGATTATGGGGAATGTATATGAAAGCTCCTTTTGAAAAAGGCTACTGCTGAAACATTATTAATTGGACTTGAGGGTGGGTATGGCAAGCCTCTGATGCAGAATCGATTAGTTTTCAGATGAAAAAAAGAGAAGTTTGATCATAATTAACAATGTGGTAAAAGATAGTATAAGTAAAAATGTAAAAAAGAGAGAAGTAGAGAGGAAGTGAAGGAGGAATGGAAGGAAGAATGTAGATTGTTAAATGGCTGAATTTAATAAGACCTTTAAAAACGGTTAACTTAATATATCCAGAAAAATATTGCTTAATCCTCGAGATTTCGCAAATAAATGTACAAGCCTCTGTGCCATCTATGAGCAAAATCTTTTGCTTAATATTTTTCTGGACAAAATATTAAGTTAGCCCTTTTAAAAATTCGCACACACCGAGTCTTTTAACAACACTAGAAGGATAGAAGGAAGGAAGGAAGGAAAGGAAAAGTATTATAAAGTTAAGCAAAGAAATGAAAAGTTGACACATTCTTATTTTCACGCCCTTCCTCTCCGACAAAATCTTATTAAAGGTACGTACCAAATGTTATACATCACTCAATCTAGAACAAAACGTAATCCTAACGTAAATTTAGATATTTTTACTCAAAGCTTTATGCTAGAATATAATAATCTAGTAAAGATATACACCTCTCTCAAGAATTTCGAGGTGGCACCAAAAAGATGATACTCTAAAATCAATTTCTAAAGGAATAACCAATTTCGAAATTTGGAAATTATATATGTGAATCCTTTGTTGTAGTAACTCTAAAGACCAAAAGGTTTTTGGAAATGAAGTGCTTGTTTCACACATGGTAATTTATGGATTTAAATCGGATAATTAGTTGATCATTTTAAATATTTGTCAAAATCTGATAATTAATTTACAGAAAATCTAGGCTTATTTTGGCAGATTGCCTTGCACAAATATCAATTTAAAACTTGCAGATCTTTACCTATATTCCATGCAAATTCTTCACATAAATTTGGGCGTTTATTTTATTCGTTATGGGTTTGAAAAATAAAAAAGTTTTACATAAATTTTAGAGAAAATAGAGATTTTTTTTTATAAATTTGCAAGGGATTAATGTCATTTTTACGTGTTGAAAGTTGAATCATTTATTTTACCTATTATGAGAGGCATACCTTTGTAATGAAAAAATGTTTCGTTCTGAATAACCATTTGTCACCTTTATTAATGTATTTTTATTTTCTATATAAAGCTTGACACTGTTCCAACCTTTTCCTTTTTGAAGCTTTTGAGAGTATCGGAGTTTCTAAATTTTTGAAAAATTTTATATTATTCTTTATAATTATTTAAACGCCTCTAAGCAAAATTTCTACATGACCAGTCAAATTCTTTGTGATCTATACCGAATTTACTTTTCTGTGATATAAGTTGATCTTTAACATAGGTTTCTTCAGTCCTAGCTTACCTGGGGTTTTCACTATCAGACTTTTAAAATATGAACGAGAATCCCTACAATTGTTTAATAGCTATGCTATAAAATTTCAATTCTTATTAAGAAATTCACGAATTAATTTTGCAGCATCCTAGTATTTTCCTTCAAAACAAGTCTTATTTATAGTAAGATCATCTTTTAATATCAAATAGTTAATATAATTACAAAAGAAACCTGCTTTTCACCAAAATTATTAATTAAAACGCCATGTCTTTAGGTCCATTTTCTATCGTTAAGAAATCAGCAGTGTAAGAAATTTATTGCAAAGAAACTTAAATGTGTTTTTCATGAAATGTCTAAATTGCTTTGAAATCGGTTAAGATATTAATTTTTATTTTTGGCAACGTTTTTTTTTATAAAAATGGTATTTTCTTTGCTCCAACTTGTATATATTATTTTTAAAATCTTACTTTTAACATTATTGATAAAAGTTTTATATTAGCTTTTCAAAATAATTTTGCTAAACAACAATTTTTCTATAAGTTGAACAATTTATATTATTATTATAAAGGTAATAATGGGAGGCGGCTGGAGCAAATTCTTACTCGAGAACCAAACGATAAACGACAATTATGATTTAAGTAATAAAGCCGGACAAAGAGGAATGATGAGCGGAGATAATTTTGGAGGCGATGTTAGTAGACCGGGAGGAAATATTTGTAACCATCAATTAGAAATGAATGTATAATGGGCATTTTGAAAAGTTCTTGAGGATTCATTTTTTCTTTGGGAATAAAAATTGATAATAAACTATGGTTGAAATAAGATATGAATGGCTAAATCCCCCCCCCCTCCACCATTTCATTTTTTAAAAATAATATGCCAGAACTAGCAAAAATAAAAAAGATTATACCATTTAAACGGGTTTTTGGGTAAATACATAAATGATTGGAGAAAATAAAGCAAATTAAATAAATAGGTAAACATCAATTGACTAAATTATCCGTTAAATATTTTGCAAAAAGATGACAAATCGCCACCCCACTTAACAGGTAATACATGCCACGGCTGCGATGAAATTGAAAAAAAGCTTATAGTAGATAAATCGGGAAGGAAAAAAAGATCCATTTTCAAGTCTGCTATAGAGTATAAGAGAAAAATGGAGGTCGGAGAAAGGTTTATATATGCTTTATCATTAATATTTCTTGGAAGAGTTTAATAACTAAATCCCTAGTGTTTTCATAAAGAGAACTTTTCACAACTCTTATAAATTAACAAATTTTGAAGAACACTTAATTCACATTCTGATGATTTTCAAATGTCTTGTACAGTATAAATTAGATAGGAGAAAAAAGTTGGCTCTTAAATTAAAAAAAATCTAAAGCGATTTTTCTCTTAGTCAGCATGCGATATTTACCAAATCGTCTTTTTTAATCAAATTTCATTTTTTACATATACCGACTAAGTATAATACCTGCATTAATATCGAGGTAAATAGTCTAAAATTTCCAACCTAGCATTCTTCAGAGAGCAAGTATTAAATCCTTCAAGAAGTCATAAAAATATTATTTAACCTTGGTTTTCAATGCCTTCAAAAAGCGTTTTATCATATATACATGCCAATTTATAATATATACTATCATTTTGTATTGTAAAAAATTGTACAACATAATTTACGTACATGATAGAGTTAAACTCAAGTGTCACATATATATTATTATGGCCAAAAAAATAAAAAATGATTAATAAAAAAAAATGAATAGTTTTTTAATATATTCATCAGGAGTACCTGTTATCAGGAGAAAAAAAAATATGCATTAATACGAAAAGAAAAGTATTCATTAATATGAAAAAAAAATTAAATAAATTGAATGTTTATATAAACAGAGACCTATTTTAATTTTTTAAATACTCATAAAAATTTTTTTTTAAAAAAATACCCAGGCCAAGCCGGGTATTTTAAAACCGAATATTTAAAATTGCTATTATTAGCTACAAAAATTAAAAATAAATGTAATATATTTTTAAAAAATCCGGGTGCCGAAATTTGTTTTTTTTAAAAAACCTGAAAATTTAAAACCAGGGCCCAGCCGAAAATTTTTTTTTTTAAAAAAAATCCGGGCTGGGTGATGCAAATGGTACCTCTGCAGTAATAAAATGAAAAGATAAAATATGTTCTATAAAATTTATAATACAAAAATATCTAGGAAGTGGGAAGAGGTGTGAAGTGAATCATATTAGCTACTATTGAAATTTGCTAATTTTTCAGATAGGTTAAAGGTTTGTATAAATATTTTTTAGAGATATATTTAAATTAAATAATGCATGTTTATCCAACTTCTTTGAATCCAAACCCAAATGATCATACATAAAGCAAAAAAATGGGAATCTATGTGACAAAAGTTTCTAGAAAAACGATTATTAATCATGAAACTAGTCGTGATTATTAGAGAGGAAAATAATACCAAAATTAACAGTTCTCAACGAAAAAGAGATAGAAAAATTCTTACAAGTTACAACACAACGAGATTCAAGATATCTTAAAATTTATTTCAGGAAAATAGGCATTTATGTACCATTGATATTATATCCCATTGGAATTTAATAGCTCGAAAAGAATTATTCTATTAGTATTTGCAATAGGAAGTTTTATTCTAAGTGTGTTTTTTCTATTTTATAAGGTATACATATATCTTAAAAAATTTTCATTTGATTAGAAAAACCCTTCGTTAACTTGCCGGTAAGTCAGACTGTCTTAAAAGGCCCTTAAATTTCCAAAAAGTGGATAGATATCATATATAGTATATTCTAATTAGATATTGTTTTGTTTGATTGTAGTTAGTTTAAAAACACCATCCATTCACATCTGCCAAAATAGATTTATAGGTAAAGCACTTTAAAAAAATAAGCGAACTTGTTAAAATTTGGATGTTTCACGCGTTAACTTTTAGTGCCAGTTAAGAACATACTCTGAAGTAGGTACTTAAGTATTTTTTTACCATGTACATTTATGCTAAAAATTATATAGGAAGGATACCAATTTGATAAACGATTGGATCAATTTGAGGAAATCTAATGGTAACAAGTATAAATATGTGGCTGATAAATATCAACTGAATGCCGTTTCCCCCCAGGAAACCGATTATTTGATGGGTAATAGGATATTAATTGTTATTTTTATAAATTTGGGTAATGCATCTTCTCATTTAATATTATGCTCATTTATTAATCTTCTTTAAATTCAAAAAATCTAGTTCAATCTCATAATTAAGCAATATTCATTTACAAGTACAACATAAATTTCATAGAGGAAGATGTCAATATAATTACAAAACACTTGATATTTAAAAAAAAACATAATTTAAAAGAAACGGATGTGTAAATCTTTGCCCGAGTTTTAAAATGATTTTTCTTAATTATTGTATAAATGAGAAAAATGTATCTCCTCATTTTATTTTAAAATTCCCTCAGTTTAATAATTTTTTTTAACTAAAAACGTCTAATATAATATCTTTAAAAACAAGTTTCATAGAGATTCACACCAATTTTCTTTTGCATCCATCTTATCTCACATTATATAATCCTCTATATTATAATTTATTTGTGTCGCAGTTGTTCAAAATGGCAATTGAATAATTTAAATAACAATATATTTTAAGGAACGTCAAATTTGATTTTTGTGATATTGTTTTTATTTTTATGTAAATGATCAAATGAATTTTTCTGATTTTAAAAATAAATAAAATTTAGGAAGAAATTTTGTGATTATGAAATTAAGAAGTTTTTTGTGTTTGTTAAAATTTGAAGCCACCCCCCCCCCCTTCTGAAGGCCTTTTTTTTTTTTTTTACATATTTCAAATAAATAATAACTAAAGTTTTTGATCAACAAAATTTCAGAGTATTCTACAGGATAAGATAAATTTGTTAGTATTAAAAACCTCCATCAACAAAGGGGAAGAAAAAAAATTTGATCAAAATATTAAATAGATAATGTTCCATATCAAAAATATGAAGTTGTTCCTATACTGGAACACCGGGTAAAAAAGGATCAAATTTTTGTTTACTTCTCTATTAAATAATATATTATATATTTTTTTACGGGCCTCTGTGTAAAGAAATTATATTTAGAATAATATAAGGAAAAAAAAATCGAAGTATATAGGGAAAAATTTAAATGTATAATAGTTTTGATTATTATGAATAAGTTCATCAAGTCTCAGACTAAATAGTAATCAATCCCCCGAGAACTCTTAATTAATCGAATAAAAATCTAAAATTATTTTAAAAAACTTTATACTAAGGCTTATTCGCCCGTGACCATTTAGGTTTCGAGTTAAAGAGAGCACCAGAAAATAGAGACGAGCAACCCACGTTAGAAGAGATGGTGATGAAAGCAATGGACATATTAGAAAATGATCCCAAGGGTTACTTTTTACTGGTAGAAGGTTTTATTTTAGCACGATTTAAACACTTATTAATATTGGTATCCCGTCATTAAAGATAAACCATTACAGAAAACAATTATAGAGAAACTTTTACAGAGAAAACAATTATAGAGAATGTCGTTTATTTTACAGAGAAACTTTTATAGAGAAAATAGTTATAGATAATGTCGTATATAGATAATGATTTTATAGGGAATGATTTTACAGAGAATGATTTTACAGAGAATGATTTTATAGAGAATAATATTGTTCCAATTTATAACAATTCAGGCTATCTTCGTCTTAGAGAGCTAAAATGAAAAGTTAAAATTTGTAATATAATACAATTACCAACTCTTTATAAATTCAAGATCGTTGGATGATGGGAACTTATATGAGACGATTCGATGCCAGCCATATAATGAATTATTGGGCATTCGGTTTATGAGATAGTGCCGATTCTTAGCAATTCCATATAGAAATGCTAAATATTGGCGACTTCCTCTCCATCGCTATCATTTTTCCAATCCACTTCTCTTTAAAGTATTCCATCAAGGGGGCGAGAATATCCCTATTTTATTGATAAAATTCAGAGGCACATATTTCCTTGAATCTATGAAATACATCCTCAACTGGCACATATGCCAGTGATATTAACTTTTTTATATAGAAAAATTTCTTTGTGTTTTGTATGCATTGCAAATTAGCGGATTTTTTGAACCGTGCGCCATATGCATTGCGACATATGAAACAGGCACCCGCGCATTGCAGTCAGTAGAAAATACTGTTTGAAAGCAGATAACGCTGCTAATTCAAAGTCGATCATGAATTTAGGATTTAAGTGGCGGTTATAGAAATATATCGGCCATTATATTATTGGGCAGAGATTGGGAACTAGATGTCTCTTGTTTAATTTCATTTAGCTCTCTTCTTGCCAAAATCTGCAATGTCTGGTACATGGTTATGCTTTTGATTGTGGAATATAGGTATGAAAATCTCTACATTAATGTTGTAAAATTAAGTAGTTACCATTAACTAGCTATAGCTAAAAAATAACTATAACTAGTTACATTTACAAAATCGTAACTGTAGCTAACTAGTTACATTTACAATATCGTAACGGTAGCTAACTAGTTACATTTACAAAATCGTAACTGTAGCTGGCTACATTTTTTAGAAAGTATCTGCCAAAAGTAACTAATTACTTAATTTATATATATATTTATAACTAATATAATTAAATAATAAATTAAAATTTGTAATAATTTTACTTATTATTGATTTAAATCTTAGTCAATGAATTTATATTAATATATAAATATATTATAATATATTCGATTTAACATAATTTAATCGCTTCGGCTAATTCTGAATCTACTATCCATAAAAATAATTGTAACTAGTGACTAGATTTAAAAAAAGAAAACTAGTAACTGTAACTTGTTATATTTAACCTTACATTTCCAAGGTAACTTTTAACAACACTATCTATTTTATTTTGTATTCTTATCCTTAAAAATAATTTTCGCAAATTCCTCACAAATCATGTCGAAATTTTGTTCTCTACCATTAATTCTTCAAATAAAAAAAACCTTGTGCAAAGATAAGCAAATAATTTTCTCTGCCGATTGTAATAACTTTCTTACAATAAAAACTACCCAATTATTCGCTTATATAAGATAATTTTAAATATTTTAAATATACAAATTTCAGGAGGCATGATAGATTTCGCGCATCATGAAGGCAAAGCTAGATTAGCGTTGGAGGAAACCATTTTGCTAGATGCCGTGGTAGAGAAAGTTCACGCCAGAATAACTAAAAGGGGTAGAAATGTCCCTGATGATACACTTCTCATTGTTACCGCTGACCATTCTCACGTGTTCAATTTTGGAGGTTATCCTCTCAGAGGAAACCCCATATTCAGTAATTGATATATAATTATTTTATAACATTTTAAACCTAGATTAGTGGCGTTCCTCACAATCTCATATTAAATGTTTTACAGAACAAGTTTTAACGCCTACTTATAGCTGTCACATATAATTAATTTTAAATGTTTGTTTTAGTACCAGAACTGACAATTTATTACCGAATAGATATTTCAACTTGCATAACTTTTTATGTTATTTATTAATGATTAATAAGGTCCAATAAGAAATCATAGACATTAAGTGATTACATTGACAATTTTTTTTAGCTACGAACATTAATATTTTTTAGCTACGAACACCAATATTTTTATCCCAATCTTGTTAAATTTTTAAGTTAATTTATATTACATGGTTGTTTTTTTAAAATGAAACAGTCATTGTGTTGTTATTATAATCTTTTCAAGATTGATTGTCTTCAAGTATTATTTACAAAATAAAATTCAAAAATATCTTTTAAAAAAATAAGAATTGGATAACAACTTTTACAATATTATCAATATTATACAATGATACGTCTTAATAAAAAGAAAACCCATGACTTTTATAATATCCATAACATTTTTTTGCTAATGAATTTTTAATATTTTCTTATGATACATTATATCTTTGTATATCACATTTTCACAGACAGTGGAGTAACTAGGATATTAATCTATTATAGTAAAAATCCTGCCTTATTATACAATTTAACTGATAATATTTTCTTTTAGAGACCAGCAAAAAACTATTTTTTTTGACCCAACCAAAACCACGTGAGTAAAAACTTTTTCTCCAACCCAGTCCCAAAATTTTAAGAAACAACCGAACCCTACCCAAACATATAGTACATATTTCTAACCCAAGCCGTTTCAAAAATAAAAATATACTTTAAAATTTATTTATTTTTTGGTATGTTATAAGAAATAATCTAAAAATGAACAAGGTTGTTAAATAATTAATCAAACCATGATTCATTGTTAACACTGATTAAATTCAAAATTGTAACAATACAATCCAAACCCAATCCAACCTTATAAAAAATTTCTGACCTAACCCAACTTTGAATAAAAAATATTTATAATTTCCCAACCCAATATTTTCTATTAAGAAGCAAATTTTATCAATATAACAAGGATTTAACAAGGAATTTCCTCAAAAGCCTTACGATGTGTCTGATGTTGATAATTTACCTTACACTTCTATTGTTTATGGTAATGGTCCAGGCGGGGTTGACCCCAAAAAGAGGCAACATAGAGAAGACTTAACGAATGTGGATACAGGTTCAATTATACTCTATTTTTGTTAAAATTTTCATAGTTTATTTATTTTTGCCTGTTTGATAATGAATTGAAATTTGTATATATGATTTTAAAGATATGTTCAGTTTAAAATCGTATATAAAAGATGGAACTCAGTTTGTGCTATATAGATTATATTATATATATAATATATATAAAACAGAGATATCTTTTTTTTTAATGGAATGGAAAAGATAAAATATATAATTAATTTTATCTCAAATATATAGCTAATCCAGATTACGTAGCTCAAGCAGCTGTTCCCTTGATAAGAGAAACACATGGGGGTGAAGATGTCCCTATATATGCTATTGGTCCTGGAAGCCACTTGGTCTATGGGGTGCAGGAACAAAATTACATCGCTCATTTGATAGGTTACAGTAGTTGCGTTGGACCATATTCTAACGGAAGATGCAGAAGATGTTAAAAATTTCAAAAACCAGGATTTTCGATTATATAAATCTGTATATGTAATTATAAAAAATAGGGGCCTAATCCGTTATGCACAACGGTTACTATAAACTAAATTGTCGAATTTTAAATCGGTTACCTTCTGGTTGTTTTCGGATAAGAGTTCATTTAGGTTTTGATTTTTTTTTGTATGTACAATAATATCAATATCATTTATCCCTATTCAATAAAATATCAATTCTGTTTTAATAAAATAAATCTTACCCTATAAACAATTCTATTTATTTTTATGATTTATATATATAAACATAGCAAAAATTTATGAAAACATAATGTAAATAAATAATTTTATTGTCAAAGTTATTATGCTTATAAATGAACTTTAAAAATAATTATGGTTTATATGAGAAAATATATTTGGAACATATCTGATTTTTTAATTATAATACCGACATTATATTAAATAAATTTATATATTTCAAAGAAATTAAATTATCTATTCACTTTGCAAGAGGATATACAGGATTAGGGGGTGTTTGCAAGGGGGGCTAATCTTCCCCGCTAATTTTTTTTGATTTTAAGCTCCCTTTAATAATTTTAAGTAACCAAAAAATTTTTCATATTTAGCCACATAGAAGATGGAGTAGCGAAAAGCTTTATTTTTCTATATTTTTATAGAAATTTTATGTCGCTTCTACTTTTAGAAGATTTGCCATCAATTAGTATAGTGGTGATAAATATTTCCATTTTTAGCAGATTTTGAGCCAACACTAAAAAGGCTAGAAAAGTATCATTTTAGTCTTACTCGTAATCTAAACATAAAGGATGGCTCAATCTTGAAAAAAATATACTCTTGCCTCAAGGTTTAACAAATTTGTTCGACTTGTTAGGGTTATTGATTTAATAACAGTTAGGGCCAGAAATAGTTTAAATTTAGAAAAATGTTTAAATAGGAATTTAAAATGTTCAAATAAGTAGGTTATTAGTAGTTAAGATTAATCAATTTACTTTGAAAAAAAAATAAATTGTGATATTTTTTATAATAGGTTCTTTGGTGTACTTTTGCCCATGAACCATTTTTGATTGACTGATATTTAAAAAAATTAATCCTTAGGAACATATTGTCAATAATCAAGTATTATGTAGATATCGGCAGCGTCACAGAAGATTTATTGGAAGCAAACCCCCTCCAAAATATACTCCTACCCCTCTAAAAAAATATCGCAGCCTTCGGACGCGATATTTATACACCCATTATGGTATAGCACCCCCATAATACTAATTTAAATAATCTTGTAATGAATGAGCCACCATTAATAACTTTCAAACAATTCTAATTAAACTCTTTCAGGCCTCATGATTATTTAGGTGAAGAATAACAAATAAACATTTATTGGTGATAATAAACTATTTGTTGCTTCATTTATACTTAGCATTTACAACGAGCATGTATTACCTCAACCTGTACTAAAATGTTATCTGTGTAAATTATTGAAGATGTACTATAGAAAAATGATAATAGTCATAATCGTTATTTTTGAACGTATTTCTGTCATAATTACTATTTTTAAATTTTTTAAAAGAAATTGGAAAGGTCCTAAAAAATATCTAATTTCTAAAAAATATCTAATTTTTTTTCATTAATATATTTCATTTTTCTTTATAATATAGGTCAATGATTATATGTAAGCTTCCATAAAGACATTTTCTAAATCATTTATATGTATGCGGTGGGATTAATATAAATTAGAGCGAACAAAAAATTTTCCAAATTAACTTAAAGCAAAATTATTCATTTGAAATTTAATACTTTTATTGATATGATTTTAATTTTATAACAAAACAAAATTTTAAATTTATTAAAAATGTTTTTAATATTAAATAATGGATAATAATATTGTTATGCAAAGCAAACTATAATTAGAGAAAAAAAAAACCAATATTTATGACTGAACCATTTAAATATTCGATTGAGGATTAAAATATTATAATTATGTAAATTAAAAGTTTCCATATTAATTTTTACCGGATAAACCATTCTCATTCCAAAATTTTCCTCAAATTTCTTTTACAGAACTTTCTATATGACAATCGTCTAAATGTTATTTGTAAACTTTTTCAATTTTTTAAGGCAAATGAGTAAAAATAATTTTTCTTTTAATTTAAAATCTTTATTTTCGAATTCAATATTTAAAGTGAAAATTTACTAAGTAAAAGTGACAATAGTTATAATTGTATTTTTTTTAAATAAAAAATTTTTGCTACCTCTAGACTTTTTCTAATTTTTTTGAAGCAAATAGGTAAAAATATAAATTGTAAACTTTTTAAATTAAGATTTCTGTGAAGATTTATCATAGAAAGTGAAAATTGTCTTAATCATTAGGGAACCTTCTCGCAACGTTGAGACAAAGCTAGGATGACTCGGGTAAACCTTAAAAACCACCACTAAACAGAGAAGGAGGAAAAGTAAACAAAAATATATATTGTAAACATGTTTAATTGAACTTCAGTGAAGATATATACTATAGAAAAGTGGCAATTATTATAATCCTTATTAATAAAATTTTGGAAGTATTAAATTGATTTAGTAAATTTTTAATTTTTTAACCAGTTTTAAATCTTTTTACTTTTTTTTTAGTATATTTCCTAAAACCGAATTAATTATTTAGTGGGATAATCGAAAAATCTATATTTTTGCTTAAACTATTTGATATTTGCCACTGTTTTTTTTTTGTAAAAAAAGAGTAGATGCATTATATATACACTTTATTTATGTTATTGGATCAGTTTTTATATTATATTATATATTTCAAGATGAATGTTTAATGTTACTACTATGACAATGATGAAAGATGACTATTATGTAACATCTTGTAAAATTTAAATGTCTCTTATCCTTTAATTTTTATCAAAAATTGGAAGGAAAAGAATGTTAAGTTCAGCTATCAATTTTACGAACTCAATTTTGCAACTTGTGCGTTATATTATCACAGATTTGTTTTTTGGGGAAAAAAATTTCCACATTTAAAACTATAAAACTTAAATTATAAATGAGTGAATTGATGGATTATATTTTGAAAAGTTCTCATTTAGGATTGGAAGCAGGTCCAAAAATAAAATGCCAGAATAAATTCTAAATAAGAAAAAAAATTTAAATTTTTTTAAAATTCAGATCGTAGTGTCACTGGATGGGAGGGGGGTATAGGGGCTCAAACCCCACTAAAAAATTTGAAGAGCCCTCTGAAAATTATTTATTTTTAGAATATCTTTATAAAAAAGGAAGGTAAAAGAAATGGTAATTTTGAATATATTTCCTAAAAATTTTTCATGACAAATTTTTCGAAAATAATTTTTAAAGTTTTTTAATTTTTTTTTAAACATATCCTTGATTTTATAATACAATCATATGCATTTTTACAAGATTTGATCTTTATATCAAGGTCCATTATATTCCTTAACATGTGTCCAAAAAAGTATTATAATATGGCCTTCTAGTTAAATTAATTAAAAAATATCAAACGCTAATTATATTTTTCGGCCAAAAAATTGTTGTCTTAATTTCAATACATAAATAATAGGTAATCTCTTTTCTAAATATTTTTTAAAAAAAATCCAGAAATTTAAAAAAAGTAGCCAAAATGTCAGTTTTTTTTAGTGACAGCAAGTATTTTCCAAAATGTGCCTTAATCTTATTATTATCATTCTTCTTTCATATATTAGGTGAGATTACGGTTCCAGGAGAAAGTATATAATAATTACTAAATATATAAAATAATTATAATAATATAATAAAATATAGTTATATATATATAAATGATTTTAAATTCATTTTGGCAAAATGCAATGAGATATTGATATTGGGGAAAAAAGAAAGGGGGGGGGGGTGGTTGTTGAATATATAAATGTTATAATCTATCAGGGTTTATATCAATTTTACTTTTGTAATTGCATTATATAATTATTTATTAAAATTTTATTGTCAAAGACGACGCATTTTGGTACGACAAGGCTTACAAAAGTATTCAGCGAGCAGAAATATTGCGAGGGACACGATGCGGAAAAGAAAAATTATGGCATAATTTTAATTATAAGGCAATGGCCAAAAATGTCATATTATTCGTGGGTGATGGTATGGGAATGACTACCATAGCCGCTTCTCGTATACTGAAAGGTCAAAAGATAAATAAGACTGGAGAAGAGACTTACTTGATATGGGAAAATTTTCCCAACGTCGCCTTTTCCAGGGTAGTAAATATGATATTAACAATTAAATTTTAATTTTGGTTTTTTCCGAATTAAATTATACTTTTTTTTTCATCTTTCTTTAAATTTATAATGTTGTAAGCCAAATTATTTATAGGAAAATAGACCAGGTGTTAGTTACTACTTACTATAGTTACTTAATTGCTCTACTTTTAGACTTTTTCAGCTAATTTTTAACGGGTTAAACCTAGTTTTTAGTTGAAAACTATGACTTCCCTATTTTTTTTTGTTGTTGAAAATATAACCAAAATTTGGAGAAGGAAAAAGTAATACGCCTCAATGCTTAGCTAATTATTCAGTATAGGCCTGTAAATTGAGCCTAATTAGATATATTTTATACAATTGCTCCACTATGCTCTTTAGGATAAATGGCAAGGAATAGGTCTAGATTCTTTTAAATATAGTAAAAGGCAAATGATGAATAAAAGTTTATAAAAAAGGAAAACTTTCAAATTTTTTTTCCATGAGAAAATAATATTTTTGGAAAGAAATAATAATAAATTATTTTTTGTTTGGAATTTGGGGTATTTGTATTAAATTAATTAATTAAATTTATCCTCGTAAATGTAAACTTTGAGGGATGGAAAAATAACCGGTTCTTTATAGCCAGTGCTCTTCTTTTCGATCATTGACTTATAATATAGTTTTTGAAAAACGTAGTGAATGCTGGGTTGGTCTTTTGATGACGGGCTTAAAGCTAGCTTGGACCCAACCGGTATTCAACATCACAACTAAAATGGGCGCAAAATTATTATTTTAAACACCTAACTTGTCACCTTTAGACGTGTCTCCCACAAAATTTCACTCTCAAGAAAGAGCCATAGACATTTCCCACCAATATTATATATGATAAACCGGTGTAATTTTAGAGTTTTATCACATTGTATTATTTGTAATAAATCTCTTGTGAATATAATATATATTTTAAATAAAAATAAGCATCTCCTAATCTCAAACCATTTTTCAGAATATATATTTTTAAATCTGTATATTTATATTAATAGATCTTCTAATAACATAAGCAATATGCTCGTATGTTTAATAACCATGGAAAAAAACCTCTTTTTTTATCACCTTCAAAAATCAAAAAAAAAAAATTATTATGGTATCACCGTTTAAAATAGTTTTCTATTATCTCTGCTAAAAAAATTTAAAAATGCTATTTACGAGGTTTTTTAATTGGGACTGACGATATTTTCTTTTATCTTTAGAGAATCGATAATTTTTTAAGTTAAAAGCTAGAGGCAATACCCAGCTCCAGCCTCGAATTTCTCCTCTCGGCAGAACAATTTATAATCTCTATCGTTTCCCGTCTAGGATGTAACATGGTAACACCATCTAGTTGTGTTGACTATGATAAATTAATAGAGAATAAAGGATGCCACCCATTTCATTGCAAATATTTTTGCGGACTCCAACTTCGCCACAAAGCAATCAACAACATCCTACTACAAACTTTTAAAAAAGCTAACATACCAATTACTCTCGAACCAGTTGGTAGCCATAACGACAGTTCTAAATGCCCAGGTGGTAATAATTTAATACCCAGACTAATAGACTTCCGTTAGCTTGGGATTAACTCGTATTGATTTCTCAGCGATATCAAACAATTCACACTTTGCCCTAACCCTCGCCGAAACATTACATTTTCATGCCCATATTTACCAACACCTAAGGTATCTTTTGGGACAAGGCTTTTCAGTTAATCAAAAGCCTCGGGGAAAAAATAACTCCACACAGCGGAGATCCAAATGTGGGGTTTTATCTATGACAGAGAATCTCCTTAGAGACCTTTTTTTATTAATTTATTAAGTTTCTTTTTTTGTAATCCTTTTTAAAATATTTTTAATCATATTTTTTAGAAATAATTTTTTTTAAACATCTCTCTCATTTTTTATTCGAGTTGTAAATAGGTATATCACATATCTTTTTTAAATTGAAATTTATCTGAATAACCCTACATAGTTAGCGCGAATTAGCAGCAAAATATATAAAAAACACAAAAATGCGGCATATTTTGTATACTGTCACACTAATTATGTATGCAGGATAACCCCTCATTCATACTTAGCGTGAATCTGCAGCGGATAATATAATAATACAGCTATTTTGTATAGTTCGTCGTTAATTCGTGCTAACTATGAATGAAGGGTAATTTGGTTTTCAAATTATCTTTTTTTACCACCACCCCATAACCCCCAAAATTAAAAAAAATTATTGTTTTTAAAAAACTATTATTTTTTTAAAAACAATTATTTTTTTTATTTTTTAAAAATTATAAACATATGTCGTATTTGGATATGGAATCATGTGGGAATCGGAATCCCCACGTTTTATTCGGTATCCTTTTTTTAAATATTTTTTTTAAAAATATTTAAAAAATATTCCGAATCCCCATGAAAAAAAAAATATATAAATACTTTTTCTTCTCTTTTTTACGCACCATATAATTAAGAGGCCAAAATAAGGGATTTAAAAAGAGAACTAAAAAAAAAGTAAATAGTATAAAATTAAGGCATATAATAAATGAAGAAGGGATGAGGTTAAGACATTTTTGTTTTAAAAAATATTAAAATATATTACTTTTTCTTCTCTTTTTTCGCAGCTGGCACAATATAATTAAAATGCCAATAAAGGGATTTAATAAGAGAAAAATTAAGAAATATAATGAAGGAAAAGGGATGGTTAAGACTTTTTTGTTTTAAAAAATATACTTATAAAAAATCCGAATTATTGCAACAATTATTCAATGCAATATGGCATTTCGTTGAACATTTAAGCAGCCGAACATTTGTAACGGTTCAGTTTGGTTACGGTTCAGTATATAAAAAATTATAATGGTTACGTTTTGGTTACGGTTCTTAAGAAGAAATTTATATAAAGGTTCCGTTCGGTTCAGCTAATTATAAAGGTTTATGAAGGTTCATTACGGTTAGAAATTTTTTTTTTATTGAAGCAACACCATCTTCCAATTTATTTTTATTATAAACATCTATGAATTATATATAAAAAAATATATAAGTTCAAAATAACTCATTTTTATATATATTATTTGAACTTATAAGTAATATATTTTCAAGTATATATGGATTCCTTTTTGTTCTATGTGACGATAACACAAAAAGCCCTTTCTACAGAAACTTGTGTTGCGGGAACCGCCAGTACTATAAAAGCACGTTTATATAATTCTAGATATTCAAATTATTTCCATTTCTAAAATATAAGATTCTTTTTACTCCTTCAAAAAATAATTATATCGGTTCGGTTACGGTTCAGATATTTATAACAAAAATAAATTTTTTAAAAAAATTATTTAAGGGGATTCGGAATCTTATTTTAAAAAAAAACAATTAAATTATATTTTTTTGCCGCCTTGCTGGCACCAGTTATTTTTTAGAGATATTTAAGGGTTTGACTAAACTGCAAATGCTAAGGTAAACCGCAAATTTATAGGTAAAATTTTTTGATATATATTCTATTAATTGGAATAAGTTCATTTTCTTATGATATGTATAACTTATAAAAATTATATTATTAGATATAATCAATAAAAAATGAATAGATATTAATAGTTGTATTTCCTTTTATCCCATAATAAATAGTTTAAATCCTTTAATAAAAAAAATTAAAAATAATTATAATTACATTTTAAATTTCAATAATATTAAATCCGCATGTTGGCGTATTATTATTTTAAGAAAAAAATCAGAGACCTGCAGAGGTACCATTTGCACGGCCCGGCCCGGTTTTAAATTTTTTAGGCCCGGCCTGGCCCGCATATTTTTTAAAAAAAATTTTTACGGCCCGGCCCGGATTTAAAAATTTAAGGCCTGGCCCGGATATTTTTTAAAATTATATTCGACCTGGTATATACAAAAATTCACCTATGAGGTATTTTACCATATTTTTCAGCGAGTATTATCACTTATTATTTAAAAAATGCATGTAAAAAGCTAATATTTTGAGAATATTATATTGAATTTATAAAAATTATAAAACTGTTATTTATAAAAATGGATATTTTGAGCATATACTATATTTTATATTGCATTTATAAAAATAAAACTAATATTCATAAAAATGGTAATAATAGTTGTCATATACTATATTTTATATTACATTTAAAAAAAATAAAACTAATATTTAATTTATAAAATTAGGAAAATATTTTGAGAATATAATATATTGTATTTAATTTACTATTTAATTTATAAAATAAAAATAAATCGCTATTTAAAAAAATGCATGTATAATAAATAGTATTTTGAAAATATAATCTAATTGCACAATATTAATATAATTTATTTTATAATATAAATTTTTAACAAAAGAAGATAATTGTATTATATAATATTGTAAAAAAAAATAAAGAAAAATGTTGGATTAAAAACTTTCATGACTCAAGGTAATTATAATAAATGAAAATAAATATTTGACAGTTTGCAAAGTAAAAAACCAGCATGATTGACGAAACCCTATACTCAAGAAAGATATTAAAAATTCACAAATTATCATGAAGAAAGAGAAGCATATCTACCTTTTCAGGTTGAAGATTACTTCTTCTTTCTTCAAGAATTCTCCCAGTAGTGGAAAAATTCCGCTCACAGCTTCCCTTGAAGCAGGAATTGCCAATACCCGTTTTGCCAATTTTGCTAAAATAGGAAATTCGCTTTGATGAGCCGCCCACCACTCTAACAAATTATCCACCTTAAATGTTACATCTATTTTTTTATTTATGTAATTATAATATTCATCATCGGGTATTGACATATTACCAGAATTACCATCCCCCATTTGTCATAAAACGATTCAGTTTGTTTAACAACAGTCGTAATTTGACTGGTCGATTATATTTCATTTACTTCCTGAGCTTCTTGTAATTCAATATAATCTTTTATATAGTTTGCCGTCATCTTGCGATCTGTCCCTGACAACATACGTAATTGCTTGAATTTGGGACAGAGAAAAAGAGAAATAAAATGATACTTGTGCAAAACAAATTTTTCAATTAAAAAATGCTTTATATTAAGTAAAATCAATTTTATTTCTCCTTTTTCGCTTTGAAAGGTATTACAAACTTCAAGAAGTGATATTCCTTTATTTGATTGTTTTGGTAAAATATATTCTAAAAATTTAGATATGAATTATAAAAAAATTTATTAATAATACTTGAATATTGGGGCATATTTAAGATATTCCTTTTTTTGATTGTTTTGGTAAAATATGTTGTAAAAATTTAGATATGAATTATAAAAAAATATATTAATACTTTGAATAAATTTGCAGGAAATTAATAATTAGATCGATCTGTGGGTGTTAGGTAGTGTTAACCATCACCCAATATTATATTAATCATAACTATAATATAATATAATCTTATAACCATTAACTCATAATGTAAAAATTTTTATAAAAAATATTAAGGCCCGGCCCGGGTTTAACAATTTTAGGCCCGGCCCGGATATATTTAAAAAAAAAATTTTAAGGCCCGGCCCGGATATGTTTAAAAAAAATTGGTCTCTGAAAAAAATTACAATTTTTTTTTGTTTTATATTTTAAAATCATATTATATTATAATTTAAAAAGGTGTTTGACGTGTTTTATATGTTTGACTAAACTGCAAATGCCAAGGTAAATTGCAAATGCTTAGGTAAAATTTTTTGACATATTCTCTATATTAATTGGAGTGAGTTCATTTTCTTATGATATGAATAACTTATAAAAATATTATTAGATATAATCAATAATAAATGAATAGACATTAATAGTTGTATTTTCTTTTATCTCATATTAAATAGTTTAAATCTATTAATATAATTATCTTAAAAAAAGAATTATAATATTATTTTATATTACAATAATATAGCGTATAATTATTTGATTTTTTTTTATGAAATAATAATACGCTAACTTGCAGATTTAATATTGATGAAATTTAAAATGTAATTATAATTATTTTTAATTTAATTATACTAAAGGATTTAAACTCTTTATTATGAGATAAAAGGAAATACAACTATTAATGTCTATTCATTTATTATTGAATATATCTAAGAAAATAATTTTTTATAAGTTATTTATAGAATAAGAAAATGAACTCGCTCCAATGAAGAGAGAATATAACAATATTTTTTACCTAAGCATTTGTAGTTTACCTTGGCATTTGCAGTTTACCTTGGCATTTTTAGTTTAGTCAAACCGGATATTTAATATGTATTACTTTTATGCTTTAAATCATTAAATACTCGAAGGCAATATTTTGTTTCACACCCGAAAATTCACGGTGTTTTTAAATTTTTCAAAACTTTAATGCGATAATTTTTTATACTTTTTTGAATTTATTCTATTTATTTCTTTAATTCCATAATCCATAATAACAAAAATAAATACATATTATAAATCCAAAATTTTTACTTAGAAAAAGAAGAATGTCTATTTTTTTTATTTCAATTGTGTACGCCTTTCCTCTAATAGGCGATTGGCTACAGAAAATATCCTTTCACTAGAAGCCGAATTTGCCAGGGCTGACAAAATTTTACTCTCTAATTTTCTCAAAAAAGGAAATAAATTTTCCTGCTTCCAAAACTTCAAAATATTGCCATTGTTATTTGTTTTATTTTTAAAAATTTTATTTTGATAATATTGATATTGGTATAATTTTTTAAAAAATGATAAAACACTAAAATATTAAAACTATATAAAAATATATAAAATTACTAAATATAAATATATATTGGCCCTTAGCCTTTTATAAAAACATTTTGATAAACTCAACTTAAAATTTGTTCGTTGTTATAAATAATTTAGTTTTAACAATCTCTAAATGAGTCTGACCTTATTTGGCTCAACCTAAAGATACATAGTATTTTTCCTTATTCATAATTGATTTGTAAAAACGGCTAACGCAATATTACATCCAGAAAAAAAAAACCATTATATTTTTTATATACTGAACCGTAACCAAACTCAACCGTTATAAATGTTCGGGTCCCTGCTTAAATGTTCAATGAAATGCCATATTGCATTGAATAATTGTTGCAATAATTCGGATTTTTTATAAATATATTTTTTAAAACAAAAAAGTCTCAACCTCATCCCTTTTCATTCATTATATGCCTTAATTTTATACTATTTACTTTTTTTAAATTCTCTTTTTAAATCCCTTATTTTGGCCTTTTAATTATATGGTGCCAGCCGCAAAAAAAGAGAAGAAAAAGTAATTATATTATTTTATTTTTTATTAATGGGGATTCGGAATATTTTTTAAATATTTTTGGGATTCCGAATCCCACATGATTCCATTTCCCAATACGACATATATATTTAAAATAACATGTAAACTATTTGTAAAATAAAATTTATATAAAAACTATATTAAATAAAATAATAATTAAACATTTAATTAGGTATGATCAACGGTGCTTATAGACCCATGTATGGATAATTATTTTTTTTTAAAACAATTATTTTTTTTAAAAACAATTAATTTTTTTAAAAACAATTATCTTTTTTAAAAACAATTTTTTTTTTTTAAATTCAATTTTTTTTATTAAAATTCATATACAAATATGATAAAATATTATTTAAAAATTAATAAAATATGTCATATATCAGTTTAAGTTAAAAAAAAGATTGATACATTTTATAAAAAGAAAAAAAAACATTTAAAAAAAAAGAAGAAAAATATCAAATGGCGAGGTCGGGTCATGATGTTTTAAATATTTGATAATTAGATCTAATTATAGATGGGGCGATTTCTGCTTGAGTTTGTAAAATGGAGAAAGGTATGATTTTTTATTGATTTGGATATTATTTGAATAAATCTAAAGCCGCTTGTCCAAAGCAGGCTGATGTAGCTGCTATGGGAACAAAATGGTTATCACACATTAGGTGTGAGTATTTTATATTTTTTTAGAGATTCGGCTCTGTTGGGGATCATGGGAATTATTAGATGGAGCCATGGGATCAATGCAGGTAAAATCTCACATTAAAGGCTTTCCTATGAAAAAAGGTACAACGGTTTTCCCGTCAGGGCGTTTTTTATCTAAAAAGGATGTAGGTTCTAAAATATAGGGAAAATTGACTTTATTTAAAAAAGAAGCTATTATTTCATTCATTTTATAATGTCGGCTGACTTTTATTTAATAATATAATTTATATTATTAAATATCTATTAAATGAACTAAAAAGAATGAGCAACATATATAAAGATCAAGAAATCATAAAATTCAAAAATATTTTGATTCGGAGAAAAACTTTAAGGTATTTAGACGTAACTGATTTTTGAATAATAATTGAAAATTCGATATTTAAGACTCAACCTAAGGCACGCCGTAGTTTTTATTTTGTCTATAACTTGTTTTATCTATTAATTAGAATAGAAAAACTGATTGATGAATTAATAATGACTAATCATGCCTTACATATAGTTCATTGCTTCTATAATCTTCCTTATAACATGTCAATCTAACAATTTATTTTTATTTTTCCAGTGATTTTTTTCTTTAAGCTAACTACCAAACGGGTTGAAGCACTAAAAAGTATGAAATACGCACTAATTATTGACATAAATATCAGCGATAATGCTTATCTTTATTGACTTTACCCTTAAGGTATGATATTATAGTTTGCTTTTGGTTCGTAATTCGGTTAATTCTTTTGTGGCTGGCAAAATTGATTTAAGAATTAATAAGTAAGCGCTAAATATTAACGGACACCAGATAGTTATAACTTATATATTATCATTTCTAGCATGATGCTAATTTTGAAATTTCTTACCAATATTTATTTTCCCCTTTAAACCATCTACCAAACAGAATAAAACAATAACGGTTCTAATAAGGCCCTATAATAGTTTGTTTTAAGTTTCAGATTTTTCTAAAAACTTCTAACTTCACGTTTAAAGCATGACTTCGTAGTTTTCATTTTGTTTATAACTCAGTTCTTCTTGTGGTTATATTTTTTATTGAGTAATTATAAGTACCTGTCAGGTATTAAATTATATCCCATGACAGATATATAGTTTTTTAAAAATATTTTAAATTCTAACATAATGCCAATTTTTTTCTTACTTTACCAAAAGGAATAAATGAATTTACAATTGAGCACTAAACATTGATAAGATTTTCAGAATGTCTTTAAATAGTAATGTTGGCCAAAATTTTGTTATTAATAATTTTTTCATTATGTTAGCTACTATACTTGTTAAAGTCAGACGTTAATAAAGCCAAAATATTGGCATATTTTAGAATTAGTACTTCCAATTGTTCCAACTATAACGGAGATGATATAAAGATAGCCACGGCGGAAAATAAATAAATATATAATATCTTTTTTAGGAGGGGCCCATCTCCGGATGAAAAAAGTTTTAAAAATTTTACCCCCCCCACCCCCCCCCCCCACTTGTCCCATGAATAAGTCCTGGCTACGCCACTGATCCCAACCCCAAACCATATCTCTCAAACCTATCATTAACCATAGTCCATATATCTGTAACCTTTAATCCTACTTGTTTAACTTAAAGTTTATTTCATTCAATTAAAAGATTTCTTTGAGTTGGGTTATTATCGCAAACCCTATACCAAGAAAAAGAGAAAAGAAAGGATGAAAATAAAGTAAATATAGCTTTTCTTTAGCCACATAATGTTATTTTTCAATCTAATTAGCACGTTATGATGACACTATGCTTTTGAATAAAATAAATTCACTATATGTGTTTGAAAAAGTTCACTATTTGACTAAAAAAAGTTATAAAAAGGGGCCAACGCAGTCTAAGCTCTAGAAAAATAAAATCATTTTCTGAAAAATATAACATATTATATAAGACTTACAACACTGATCACCAAGTATCAGATTCAGCCGGCACTGCTACAGCTATTCTTTGCGGAGTTAAAACAAAGATGAGGGTCATTGGCATAAATGATTCTTGCACGGTTAGACAATGTGATTCGGTTGAGGTTTCAAGGATTAAATGTTTATCGGATTGGTTCATCACTCAAGGTTTTGTTTTATTTTCACCTCCTTTTTTGAAATGGTATATATTTTTTTTTATAATATAAGAGGAATTACTTTAGGGGAGAAATATAATTGAAATTTAATTTTTATAAGAATTATATGTTGATTATTCCTTTTTAGGATATCTAAAATTTATATTAAAAATGGTGTCATATACTCAATACCAAGTTCCATCCACCAAAGCCTTGTACACCCCCCCCCCCTTCCCCCGGCCGGCTAATGACTTTACCCTTCTGAAAATTTTTACCACTATTTCCATAATTCTTCCCACTGTCCTCCCTGAAAATGATTTCTTAGTCCTAATTAACTCATATATACACTAGCATTGGAATCCCAAATAATAATTATATTATTAATATAAGATAATCAAGAAATATAATGACAATTGCATCATAAAAACATGATAATTAATATAGCAAATATATAATGTTTGTATAACTTGTATAATGAAAAGCTTAGATGCTTACAGTGTTTTAAACGCTACTTTTAAAAGTAGCGCGCTATCGCTACCGCTATTTTATAAAAAAAGTAGCGCGCTATCGCTACCGCTATTTTATAAAAAAAGGTAGCGCGCTATCGCTACCGCTATCGTTTTCAAATGAGTAGCGCGCTATTAGCTACTTTTGAAAAAAAGTAGCTAAAGCTACTTTTTACGCTACTTTGATTTTTTTTTAAATATTTTTTTTTACTTAACTTTATTTCCACAAATAAAATATTGATATAAAAACATGACTATAATTTGTTACATATATATATATAATTTATTTATTATTGCACTTTAATAATAATAACATTTCGGTACTGTCATCCTCAAGTCTAGAGCGACGATCAGAAAGTATAAGCTTTGCCATACTAAATAATCGTTCAGCACTAGCACTTGAGGGCAACGCAGTTAAACAAACTTTTTATATGAAAATAATCATCAAAAATATTTAAATTAGTATTTTTAGATTTAAAAAAAGCATCTAGAGGTTCAATAATATTATTATTATTATTATTTATTTCAAAAAAATCGTCTATGGAAGGCTGCGGTTTCGATCTTGCTATAGTATCGTGGTTAGGCATGCCATTTTTTAACGTTACCGTCAGCCTATCAAGTTGCCTTTTAGATTCAGTCAAATTAACTATGGCCAATTTAACTTGAAACTAGGATGAATGATAGCAGCTATTACATTATCATCATCATACAGATCTGGAAATCTAATTTATTTCATCCTCTTCCTGTTCTCCATCTTCAATATTTTTGTCAGGAATATTACTAGTATTGTTATTATTATTATCTTCCCCAAATATTCTATATTATTTATATCATATTATAAAAAAATTATAATAAATTTAAAACCTGAAGGTTTTCAGGAAATTAGACCCATTATCCGTAATCATCTTACAAACCTTGTTTTGAATTTTGTAAGACCTATGGATTTCTGCAATAATATTGGCTAGAATGTCATAAGTCTGACAGCCAATTATTCTCTTTAGAGCTAATGCTAGAGATTTTCGTTTAAGATTTTTAGGATCAATCCAATGTGCAGTTACTCCTAAATAAGCTCTAAAAATATGACATATTATAAATCAGAAAATAAACATTTTTACCTTCTATTGTGAGTCCAGCAATCTGCCGTTGTACAGACGTAGGAGACATCTGATAGATTTAATATCAAAGATTCTTTCATTTCCTTAAAGTTCTCCAAAATTCTTGCCATAAATGTCTGCCGGCAAAATATCTTGGTCCGTGGAGAAAAAGTGTTTATCATCTTTATAAAAGAATCATTATCCACCAAGGATAATAATTGAACTGTATCTATTATAAAGTTCATAATGACTTTGTCAGCCAATTTTTGGGATACACCAGGTGTTTATGAATCCAAATTGGTTAATTTTGTTTGTAAAATTTGATTTGGAAGTGGGTTTATCTTCTTCCATTACCCCAAAACTTTTGAGATATTTTTCAATCTCTTTATAATTTGAAGTGTGTACAGTCTAAAATTATAAAATACTTAGAATAAAAATTATGTAGGAGATAAGTACATAAAAATGATTGAAATAACTATTTTAAAATGTTTTAAATAATTTAGATAAAATTTATGAATATATAAAAAAAATGATTGGTTTTTGATTTTAATTTATTTTAAAAATTAAAGATTAGCCTACACATTGATATTAAATTTGTTTAATATATTACCTTTTATAGTTTTTTCAAATTAAAGCTGCTCGTATGATTTGAAGAGATAATTTTGCGGCACATCTTGCACCGAAACCGATATCCAGTATTAATTTTTTCTTCAAGGTTAAAGTATTTCTTGAATTTTGGGAAAGGATCATCTATATTTTGCTCATTTTCCAAAGAAATTTCAATATCTTCAACAATCTCACACATCACAAGATTTATAATGCTTAATATAAAATGTAATGAAATATAAAATAAGATAAAAGCAAGGACATACCAAAAACGGAATTTCAAAAATAAATTTAATGAATGCGCGAAATATAAATTAAATACAGATTGCTATTTAACAACTGTTTATATCTAATATATAACAATAATGTATATTTTTAAATATAAATTTAAATTTCAAAATTAAATTAAATAAAAGGATTATAATTTTAGATTTTATAAAAAATATATTTTAATAATTTTTAGATGTATTTATTATGTAAAATTGAAAGTAGCGAGCTACCGCTATCGCTATTTTTTAAAAAAAGTAGCGCGCTATTTTAACAACACTGGATGCTTATCTTTTTTTTAAAAAAACTTTTATTTTGCAAACTCTACTTTGAATAATAAATAAATTATAGTTGTCATTATTATAAAAAGGGAAGTCTGTGGGACTCATAACCAATACCCGGATAACTCATGCTACTCCTGGTTCACTCTATGCCAAATCAGCCGACAGGAAATTGGAAGGGTACAAAGATTTTGCAACTTATAAAGTTAATAGGACGCCTGAGATGATAAAAAAACAAAATTGCATGGATATTGCTTGGCAATTAGTTAATAGATTTCCAGGGAACGCTTTAAAGGTCCTTAATAAAGTTCAAATATAGTTCCATTCCATTCCATTCCATTTCATTCCTTTCCTTTCCTTTCCTTTCCTTTCCTTTCCTTTCCTTTCCTTTCCTTTCCTTTCCTTTCCTTCTTTCCTTTCCTTTCCTTTCCTTTCCTTTCCTTTCCTTTTCCTTTCCTTTCCTTCTCAAATGGGGAATAATACCTTTATATGTCCTCTTCTTTGTGTGATTTAAATAAAATATTATAACCTACTTTTTTTTTTAAATTTTGTAACCCAACCAGAATATGGTGCCTAGTTTCCCAATAACTAAAATTTAAGATTTTTTTTAATTGTATATAAATATTCTGCAAACAAATAAAAAATATTAGACTCTTGATTTTTTAAAAATATCAATTTATTGCCCAAACTGGAATCATATTATATTCTAAATTTAAGCCCGACCCGAATCTTTTTTTAAAATATTAAACCCGATCCAGCCCGAACTTTTGCCGATCTCTAATTGTAAGTATAATTATTAAAATGTTTTTAATTACTTTAAGTTAAGAAGACAAACAGCAGAAGTTCACTGCCTCGATGACTAAAATATGATAGGATTTAATTATGAAATAGATATTGCCGTATGTGGACTAAGAGGGTATCTCCTCCTGAATTAATTCCCTAAATAATTTACGCAATTGCATCACCATCATCACCCCGGCCCTATCCCCACGTGTTGAGTTAGAGAGCCCTTGAAATAATTTAATATTATTGTTTTAATAAAGTGAATTTTAAAAATAATCATTACCTTTTGAACATTTTTTATAAAAATATTTTAGCTAATCATATAAACAAATTGCCTTGAGCTTTTTATTTTAGAAATCTAGCAATCAATACTTTATTCAGGTAATAATGGGAGGCGGTTGGAGGAAATTCTTACTCGAAAACCAAACATTAAATGACATTTACGATTTGAGCGGTCATGCTAGGCAAGGAGGTATGGTAACTGAAGATGTTCTAGGCGATATTGATAGGTCAGTAAAAAATATTTGTCAAGATCAAGGAGGCTCAGATATAAATATCAATTCGGAGATCTCTAGCAATATCAATTGCACCCCAACAAGTGAATATTTTATGAAATTTATGATAAGTAATTATTACTAATACAATATTACACGAAGCATATAAGATTTAAGAATGAGAGTTACCAATGGGACTTAACGTTTTAAAAAGGTGATATTTTTTTAATATACTCAAACGTGTTTCTAGTAAATATAAATGGAAATAAATAAGTAAAAAATGATGAATCCAATTATCTCTAAATATAAAATAAAATCTAAAATTACCACAAAGTGAATCTACCTCCCCCTCATTCAACAGATAATACGTGTCACGGCTGCGCTGAAACAGGAAATACTCTTATAGATGAATCGGGGCGGGAAAGGAGATCGCTTTTCAAGCCTGACATAGAGAATACGGGGAAAATGGCTGGCGAAAGGTTTATATTACAGTGTAGGTATATATACCTATTATCTTTGATAAAATTTGAAAATTTCCCTCTAAACTTTTTCACTTGTCCGATTACATCTAAAACGATCATTATAATCCTGTATTATGTTAAAAAGAATTAAATAAAAGTTGCATATATATTTATGTCAAAAAAAAGAATGATTCCAAATAAAAAATCAGAGTAGAAACTTATAGCCAAATTAAATGTTATGTAAGCCTGAAGATTTATTCATAAATGGCAGAAAGGTTTGGACATCTGTTTTCCATACTTCGATATATAATATTATTTTGGCTAAAATCTTAATTGGGTCGTTTTTTAAAAAAAAATCGACCCGAATCGGGCTTTTTAAAAATCCTAACAAAGATGCTATAAAAAATTTAATTGAAAATAAATTTTCACCATATATGCATCACATTTTGAAATTTATTTCAATTTCCGTTAAAAAAATTTCAGCTATTCGAAGTAATTTTTAACTAAAATCACTGGAAAAAGGACATTGTAGCAAATATTCTTACGGATGAGCCAATTTGTCCTATCTCATTGATCCAAATATGCCACCCAGTATAATCTGGAAATTTATATTAAGATATGATCTGTGCCCAAACGTTGAGATTAAGGATAATGGCTACCAATTTCAGTGGTCACAAATGATTTTTCTAAATTAAACTATTCAAAAGTTAAATGAGATCGTTTATAATCCAAGAGACGTTATCCTCATTGGCAATAATTTATATTAATTTTATTTTTATAAGATATAGAAATAAAGAGTTTAATTAAAAAATAAAATCTAAAAGCAAGATTAATTTTTTCCAAATTTGAATGAAAATGAAATAAAATAATTTTTGAAACTATTATTTTGGTTTTAATAATAAATTTTATTTTATATTCAATTTTTGGGAATTTTTTTTTTAAAACTAGCTCCCTAATCAAATTTTAGCGTCACTCTACATGCATTACGTTAACTTGTACATAATTGCAGAACGAATTCTAACTTGGTACCATAACACTGAAAAAGAGTTAAATTCAGATGTCCTAAAAATTAAGTATTGAGTAGGCAATTTTTCAGAAATGGGCTAATAATTATAATACAATATTTATTTTTGTTTATGAACTCCCCTCATTTTTAGGAGGTGCCTTTAATAGGTCAATAATAATAACTATGATTTTAATCTACAATATTATATTTTGTTGATCGAAGGAATAAATTAAAATATTATTTAATATAGATAATTCGAATATATATTATGATATCTGGGCTATTGACTGATTTAGCAAAATTATTTATGTTTGGACAATAACCTTTCCAACTTGGATTTTAAAGGTTCCAGCTAATTTACAAGTTGAGCGACATATCGAGTATTTTACAAAGAAATAGTTTATAAAACAAAACAAAATATGCATTGTTAATCCATAGCATGATAAGTTGAATATTAATTTCGAAAGGTTTTAATGTTTTAAGGTTGCATTCAAAACCTGTTTTAAAAATTCCAAAACCTAATAATAAAGTTTTGAAAATTTCACCAATAGCTTTGGTCGTCTTTTTATTTTCTATTAAAAAGACTTATTTTGTGTTTTTCGCTATAGTTTTGAAAGTTTTAGAGTTGAATTTTTTGATATTTTCAACACAGCCTAAAAAAGGGGAAAAAATATTTTAAAGTATTTTTTTAAAAATCTTAACAAAATATGAAACCACGCCGTTGAGAACCTAAATTTATGAAATATGATTTTATGACTATTATATATCATAATACTATTGAATAAGGTTACCTTATTTAAACTTAATAACATTGTTTTTGTTTTTTGTTCTGTTTGATCCAATAGTTGTTAATTAAACATTTCCCTTACATTAAAAAAAAATTTGATTTAGCCTGAAAAAAAAACAAATATGAGAATTTAAGTAAATTTACCCATTTATCTTTAATGCTAGATAAGAATATAGCCAGCAATTTATGGTATTTTTATTTGTACCATTATATTATATAAATATATATACTTTGACATTATGCAAAAAAATAAATAAATAGGAAGGATACCAATTTGATAAAAGATTGGATCAATTTGAGGAAATCTAAAGGTGATAAGTATAGATTTGTGGCTGATAAATTTCAATTGAATGCCGTTTCCGTCCGAGATACCGATTACTTGATGGGTAAATAAGATAATCATTGAAATTTTTTAATAGATTTAAATATTCATCAAGACAATTTGATATTACTTATAATATATTTTTAAATTTTGTTAAAATCCCATTCGACCACATAATTTAGCAATATTATTTTACAACATATTTTTCGTGAAGGGGAGGAGGTTTAGCAAATTTTCCTTATAAATATTATCGACAATGCGCGTAATCAGAAAATATGTGCATTGCTTAAGTCATGTTTAGTATCTTAAAATTTAAATTTATAGGGTAGGTAATCTTCGTCTGCTGGTGGAAAAATCTGATTTTCACATTTAAAAAAATGCGCTAAATAAATAAAACCAATTGTTGAGTATGTTTTTTAAATTTGAAAATCGAACTTTGCCCAAAATGAATTCCAGTATTATATGGCATAAAATACCTATTCCATAAATTTCGGAACAACTAGGTCATAAACTTTTGTATTATTTTTAATTTGCACTCTGGGAAAAAATACATGGATTACGCACATTGCCGGTAAAATATTAAAACTTACTATATATTAATTTTAAAAATAGGATATTAAAGCTCGTGTTAGGATAGCAAAATTATAGGTAAAGCTCGTTTTTATAAGGAAAATAGAAAGAAAGTAAGGTTTAAAAAAATATAAAATCTAAATGAACCAAATGAGAAATGACATTCAATCCCCTTCATTATTGTATGAATTAGTCAGAAAAAATTTTAAAACTTTATAAACAACACTCTAAGGCTTATTTGCCCATGACCATTTAACTTACGGATTGAAGAGAGCTCCAGGAAATGGAGACAAAGAGCCCACTTTAGCAGAAATGGTTATGAAAGCAATGGACGTGTTGGAAAATGATCCCAATGGTTATTTTTTGCTTGTAGAAGGTTGGTAATTATCATGATATAAATGCTAATAAATGCAACGTCATTCATAATATAAAAGAGAAAATTTTAAAATTTACTAATATAGTACATATTTTATAACAGTATGTCCGTTTAACAGTTTAATTATTTAACTTGATTATAAAGCAAAGAAAGTAGATTTAAACTATCAGAGGATTTTCCTAAGTGGGGGGGGGGGAATTAAAAAATTACTAGGGGCTTCGCTCTCAGACCCCATTTTAGGCGGGCCTTCGCCCCACTTTTGCCCGGCCCTCGTTCGGGTTACCTTAGACTATATATAGTAATAAAATGTTTTTACAAGATAGGTGGTTAATTTTAATAAAAAATAAGTCAGGAACAAATATGAAATATATTTTTATTAGCTTATATAAAATATAATAAATTACTTGTATATTCATTAAAAGCATGGTAATAATTTATTCCAAACAAGTATAAGAAATTTATTTATAAAAAGTAAGTAGGCATATAGTTGAGACTCCTATATTATATAGAATTAGTTACAAAATACTAGGTAAAATTCCACTTTTGCAGACATATTTGACAGTTAGAGAATATATTACAGTTAATATTTTAACAAATTTACTTTTTAATGCTCTTGATAATAAATATAGCAACAATTTGCATTCAATTATTTAACGCCATCTAGATATTTTAAATAAAATATGATATTAAAAAATAATCATCATATTATTCATTCCACAATGTCTTTAAAAGATATTTTCTGATGTCCTTATCAATATTTTATAGTTTTCTGTAAAATATATAATTCGCTATATTGGTAAAAATTACTTGATTGTCATATGATAATTGATAAAATTATATATACTGTAAATCTACGACATATAATATTCCACTGTTTGTATTGTGCTTTAATTTTTTTATTTAATTTATGATTTAATTTTATCAATAGTTTTATAATTATATTTTACTTTTATTAAGATAAATAAATTAAAATTACTCACTTTATAATAAATTATATTTGATATATTATATTATTTAGTAATTTTATGGATCTATTATTAATAATTATAATACATTTCACTTTTGTCCTAAGACTTATCTTTGGCTTATATTCCATTTCTTAAAAAGCATTTTTGGTTCACTTTTTTTATATATAAATGCTTTTTCCAAAAATGTATAAATTATGATGAATAGTTTTATAAAAAACTTTTACATTCTTTCTTTCAAATTATTGTTTAAGATATATGCATACATTTTTGGGGGTCAAGGAGTGAGGGGAGGACTATGGGGGATATTTTTTATTAGCTTAAAATAATATTCACAAAAAGGATGAATTTATGAAGGGGGAGGGGTTCCCTTGTCCCACCTTGGCTACGCCTATGGGCCTCATAATATATCTTAGTCCATTCTAGTAAGAAGTTCTGTCACAATAATTTGAAATAAATAAAAATTCAAGAAAGCAATTTTAACAATATTGTATAATATAATGGCAAACAAATTATGAATGCCTCCACAATATTTAAAAACTTAATTTTTTAGGAGGAAAGATAGATATAGCTCATCATGAAGGGAAAGCTAGATTGGCATTAGAAGAAACAGTTTTGTTGGATGTAGTAGTAGAGAAAGTATACGCCAGAATAGCAAAAGATGATCAAGATGCCCCCAACGAGACACTTCTAATAGTGACCGCTGATCATTCACACGTGTTCAATTTAGGAGGTTATCCAGTTAGAGGAAACCCCATATTCGGTGATTGATAAATATAATATGTATAGCATGCAGACTGAGAATCAGAACTATGAGCCTCGAACTCTCAACCCTTTTTAAAAAATTTAGGATTCAGAATTTTTTTTCTAATCATTTTCATTAAGTTACCTAAAACCTCTTTGAAAAATTTCAAAAGTTTTAAAACTTTAAGGAAATGTAATTGTAAATTTTTTAAAATTTTACAAATATGTTTTGGCCATGTTTATATTTTTCTATTAAAAAAAAATATTCGCTTCTTCGATAAAATCTATAAAGTTTTCGAATTAAATTTTTTAAAAGTTTTGATCACATTCCTTTTTTTTTAAAAATAAATCATGAATTAATTTATATCATTTTGTTTAAAATTTTCTATTTAAATTTTTTTACCACCATTTTTTTAAATTTTACTTTTAAAATCCAAAATATAATAGTATTATCATATTATTATGGTTAATTATTTTTATGATGAATAATAATAAATAATCAAAACAGGAATTTTGTTATATTTTTTCTGTACTCTTGAACCCTCTTTATGGATTTTTAACTGCCTACTTTCTATTTATAATGAGAATTCATATTCCTGTTTTAACCTAAATTTATTAAATTAGTGGGCATCTTGAGCCGAATAAAAATGAAATATTTTATCAATAATCAAATTAGGTGCATGCTGATACGTTTGGGTACTGCATAATTTATATAATTATAGTAAATTTTAGAAACCCTTTTTAGCCATCACATTTTCAAAACCAGGAAATTTCTTACCGGGGTCGGACTATATTCAATATTTCAATTAACCCTGTATAAATATCAAGATATAAAATCTAATAGGAATTCAGATAAACCATTAAGATCACCATTATATCACTTGGAACACTAAATTTTTTTTTAGCTCAATTGCCTTTCCAGTTTATTGGTATTTTTTAGATTATTCTTCAAAGTGAAATTTTATCCATCTTAATGTTATTTTTTCTTTATTTTATTGTTTTATTAATTTTTTTAAGCAGGATTACTTACCTACAAGTATTATATATTGTATAACTTACAATATAATACCAGTATGATATATTTTAATATCAAAAAACCATAACGTCTATTGATAACAGTTTCCCTTTTGGTTTTTGGTATTGTGTTCTATATTTTCCATATACACTGTGTTCCAATTGAACTGACACCCTTCATGTTTTAGCAATAAATTTCTCAATTCTAAAATTAATTCATTAAAATTTTATAAATTGTAAGAGGAATAAATTATCAATGCTTTCTGTAAATTTTATCAAATTCTATTAGCAGGGTTCATTGCACATTCAAAGTTGGATAAACAAAATTTGAACTTTCCAACAATAGAAATTAATTTTTTTTGATCTAAATTTTACAATTTGACAAAAATATAAAAAACATTTAAAATTAATTTGAGTCAAATGATGTGCTAGCAATTTATTGGCTGCAACTTGTTTTTTCTTCAAACATCTTTTCATTCGTGAACAGGGTTGCCAGGTCAAAATTTCCAAATTGCAGGAGAAATTTGGTATTGTAGAAATATAAAAATAGCTAAAAAAAATAATTTGCGGGCCGGAATTGTGAATTAGTTTAGTTAACCCCCTATTACTTCTTATAATTTCTTTATATAAATATTAACAAAGTCGGTAACGTTTTATAATTTCAGAATAGGTAATATTTTTTAAATTAACTACTTTATAGTGGAGTTAATTTATTTGTATTATATATAAAAGAAAATAATTTGAATCTCCTCAAACAAGACATCAATGTCTATCGGTATTTTTAATATATATTAAATTACAAAAACCATCAATTGATGGTTTCTGCTCCAAGGTAATAATATCTATACATTTGTAAATCGAGTTATTGTGATTGCAAATATTCAAAAATTGTCTTAATAGAAATATTTGCTTCATTTAAAAATACATTAATTAGAGTAATATTTGAACATTTTAATATGATATTTTCAGCAATAGCCACATAAAATTATTGTTAATTTTTAACTGTAAAGATGAACACAGCTGAAGAATAATTTTATGAATTTAAAAAAAATTCTTCTGATTGCAACTGCATATAAATATCATATATTATCCTATATGTGAAATTATTCCTAAATATGCCTATGCCATTTTATTATCGAAAAAATTTTTCAAAATATTAGGACAGCTTTTATGATCTTTATTTAAGAAATATTTTTTAAAGGTTAGTAAAGTTTTAAAATTCTATCGATGGTGGGTATTAATGATAACCACCTGATAAGAACATGCCGACCAAGACCAACTCTTTTAATTCATTAACTCTTTTAGTTGATGAACTAAATTCGTTAAAACATTTTATTATAATTATTTCGACATTCACAGATAATACATTCATTGCCTTGCAAGAATTATGTAATATATGGTATATACCGCTAATTGGCATTAAGTCAACATTGGCTGCCTCAATTCTGTAAATACACTCTGGGTTTTAAAATTATGGAGGCATTATCAGCACAGAGTTGACATGCAACTCATTGATAATCTCAAATGCTATATTTACCATATGGTTAGCTATGTCTATTTAATAGTTTTATTGATGCGCCCTTATTTTTATTGAAATAGCGGAGGAAGGGAAATGTTTTAATATTTCCCTTATTAGATGCATTTGTTATAATTGCATATAGATGTCCATCTTTCAAATCGTCAAGAATTGACCTCCTGGATTTAGGTCCTAAAACATTGGTGATAGCCTTGCTCATTTTTGTTCTACCACAAGTAATTCACTTATCTTAGAGTCGTTAAATATTATGGAGAAAAGATTCCACCCACATTGTGATGATAAGTAGCTCTGTGAATGTTGTACTACATGATAAGTGTATACCATTTCCGTAACTCTAGTTGCATCTGTATTATTTCTTATTTTGGAGCATATTTTTGTATTGCAATAGATGTAGATACACTCCCCTGCATTGATTATAATAAAAATAATAATTGATTGAACTATAATCAATAAAATAATTATCATTGAAATAAGTACAATATTACCTTATTATGTATTTAAAGGTGATACGTGATAATTAAGCGCCTGGCCCTATAACTTTTATACACACACACATGAAAATGACAAAATATGAATGAATGATGTTGATTTATTATTGGATAAAAATAAAACATATGATTGGAGTAAGGATAGAAAGAAATACAAACTAGACATGTTTTTTGAATAAATATTTAAAATTTATTTTAAAAATATAAAAATAATCAATTACTGTTTCTCAAAATTATTATTATATTAAAAACGTTAAAATACTAAAAAAAAATTGAGCGGGAGAAATTAAAAAATTGTGGTAGATTTTTGCGGTAGATTTCCAATTGCGGTAGTTTTGCGAGAGTGAGATGTCTGCGTGTAAACTAAAAATTTGCGGGAGTCTCCCGCTGATGAGGGGGGGACCTGACAACTCTGTTTGTAAATCATATGGGGAGACCTAGCAACCCTGTTCGTGAATCATATGAAATGAACTACCCTCTGAGGTTATTTTCATAGAAGTTCGAATTGGCAAAATTCTAGGCTTGTTTCATTTTAAAATATTTCAGCTGAAGCTCATAGGTATTCCGATGCACCGAACTGAAGTTTGCCAAAGGTCAGTTTCCCGGAATACGTGATAAATTGTTCTATGGGCGGCAAATCGGTCTTCTTGGCTCAATACGAAAATTTCATAAAATACAAGCTGTGCGTGGTCTGCCACCACCATCCTGTTTTTCTGCTGATCCATAGCATCAACCTTTGCAATCAATCGATTCAAGGCTGCGATAAACCAGTTTCTGCTTAGAAATTTCTTCAAAATGTTTTTAGCTCTAATGTTTTATTTTGTCTTAAAGTTTTAGTCAAACTCAAGTCATCTTTACAGAAAACTATTATTTTTTTATTATCCTCTGCTTATATGTAAAGTTTAAAATATAAAAAAAATTTACATGATGGTAAATTCGAACCTTCCTTGCCCAACTTTGTATATGCAGACCTTTGGGCCCTGTTGAAAGAATTTAATGAAATTTGCAAAAAGTATTGATAATTTATCTCTCTTAATTACTATAATTTTTTTGAATAATTTAGAAATGACAAATTTATTGGCAAAGCAAAAAGGTTATCAGTTTAATTGGAACACATTGTAGATATAACTAACATAACATTATATTTTTGAAAGATATAGGGCATGAAAAAATGTTTAATAATAAGAGAAAACAAAATCATATTTTTACATATAATTAAAAAGAATGGTTTTAAAATGGATTGAATAATCCATATTCCAGGTATTTATATAAATTAATTAAACAATATAGATCGAAAAATACCGATTCATTTGTCTGTAAAATTATTAATATAACAAGGATTCAACAGGGAATATCCTGAAAAGCCTTACGATCTGTCGAATGTTGATAATCTACCTTATACTTCTCTAGTTTATGGAAACGGTCCGGGTGGAGTTGACCCTAAAAAGATGAAGCACAGAGAGGATTTAACGAACGTGGATACAGGTTTAATTAGTTTATTTTAACTTTATATTGTATAATTGTTAGAATCATAGGCATAGATACATTTCTTATTTTCCCCCTTAATTATTATTTTGCCTTTTTAAAAATATGCCTGCATATCAATATTCAGCTCCGTAAAATTGGCCAATCGATTAAAGCGCCAATTTTAAAATCTATTACAATATCAGTGCTTTATTAAAGCCATGACAAATAAAGACTTTAATCAGTAGACTAGAATAAAGAAAGAAAGTATGATCGAAAAACAAAATTTGGACTAACTTTACGATGAAAAATCGACCAAAAGCCCTTATTCTGAAAACTATTAGCTATTACTTAATTTACCACTCAAAAAGTAAGTATCATATCCAATAAATGAGCTATTTGGAAGAGTTCCCTTGTAGTGTCTTTAGGAAGTGTTTAATTTTTCAAAAAAAATTTGGATATTTTATTTAAAAATATAATTGCTTAAGATTTTATGAGAAATTGAAAAATAAGTTTTATTTATTCATATATTTAAAAAAAAAATCACGAACTATTAAATTGAAGAAAGTCCTGATAGAATTTTATAAAAATAGAAGAAATTTGAAGTTTCTAAGGAGAGTTTTATCAATTTAAAAATTAAAAATAAATTGTGAAATCAAATTTTGTCCCTATCTTCATGGTGAGATTAAACCTCAACCCCCCCTTTCATTTTTATCTCAATGTCATAAAAGCATTTACATAATTTTCCTCTATAATATTTTCAACATGGAGGATGGAGCAAACCCCATCTTATCTACATCACTGAGAGACCATGTATTATATAAAAAGGATATTTAATTTTGGGGAATTATGTATAAAAAGAAAAAATATAATTTAATGCCGGATATTTCTTGATTTTTCCATCCTAATAATTTTATCTCTAATAATATAGCCGATCCAGATTACTTAGCTCAAGCCGCTGTCCCCTTGATACAAGAAACGCATGGGGGAGAAGATGTTCCTATATATGCCACAGGTCCAGGAAGCCACTTAGTCTATGGAGTGCAAGAACAAAATTATATCGCTCATTTAATAGGTTACAGCAGCTGTGTTGGGCCTTACGCTAACGAAAGATGTAGGAAATGCTAAAACCTCCCTCAAAAATTCTGACTCTTTAATTCTAATAACACATTAAATTTACAAATTAACACCCCCCCCCCTATCCTCCTTCAAGAAAAAAATAACAAGTAAATTATTTCTTTAGACCTAATTTTTATGATAAATTTTATGCTTCATTTCTTTTATATAACTTATCTCATCTCATTTTATTAATTATTGCATTTTAACCTTTCAAATAATACTTAATATCGAAATAGTAACTCATATTTTCTTATCTTTACCTTCGATAGAAGTTTTAGTTTTTTTTAATGCAGCCCATCAGAAATATTATATTTTAATATTGTGATTTTTTCATGTATGGGTTTGAATTTTGATTTGAAACCCATTCCAACGATTCATATTATAAAATTGAATATTTTAATCTTAATATTATTCACCACCTAGCGTAACCACGAAGATAGAACGTTTAGAGACCAGACACGTACAAATTTTTCTACCCCCCCCCCCCTCAAAAAAATTCCCGCAAATAGTGTTTTTTCGCACTTTTTAATTATTTATCCCATAACTATTTTTTTCGTCCGAAAATTCTTTATTGAAACTCCTCTCACAAATATATTAAAATTGGTAGTTATTTTTCAAATTATTCTGGCCATCATGACACATGAGTTATACATCATGTAAATATTGTTTTTTGATAGAATATATTGTAAATCGTTATGAACATGGGTTAAATAAACATTTTAGCATTTCATCGTTGTCACATTTTCACCAGCTCATGCCAATTTGTGTTGTTAAACGGCAAAAATGATAAGCATAGGATGGATAATCCTATGAGGTTGGGAAATTGCTAACTCAGTATTTTACCCAGAATAATATTGCCTAAACCTCGAGATTTCGATATCATATGTCTATACCTTTGTTCATTCTATGAGCAAAATCTTCAAACTTGCGTAATATTTTCTGGATGAAGGTTTTTAAAACGGCTCAAAACGAGCCGTTTAAAAACACTTATGCCAATGGATTCTAATAAACCAGATATGAAGGGCAAGTGGACCCCGTTATCATAAAAAAGAATTCGACAGTTACGGTATCGATAAAGTGATTATTCGCTCCTATAATATGCACATTCTATAAAATTTTAAATATTTTATAGGGATAGGTAAATAAGGAATTCTATATAACCATTCGTCTGATAATGATGAATTACATAACTTTGACTCGACCTTATAAACAGCTTAATTTTCCCCTCTAACCAGCCCGCCTGTTCTTAAAATTTTAGTCCACCTGTCCACTTAAATGGGCGGGGGCTCAAAACCCGCCCGTTGAAGACCTTTGGCCACCCTAAAATTCAATATTATCACGGGGCCATTTAAGTGTATTTGTATTTTTTTTTAAAAAATTAATAGGAAATATATAATAATAACTCTAGATGACTTTCAAAATTATATAAACTTAAAATCACCATATTTTTATATAATTCAATTAAAAAATCAAGCACTCATAATTGAATTGGAAAATTTAAAAACAGAATTAATAAACAAAAATATGGGCACATTTTTTCATAAGTTTTTTGAAAATAAATATATTTTTCTACAAAAAATGAGGATTTTTATGGGTATCCGTAGCAAAATACTTTGCTTACAGAACAAAAGTCCATTTCCATGACAGTTCTGATAATAAGGGGCAAATGGTATTCCAAGTGCCTTATCTAGAGCCAAGCACTTCTAGTCGATTGAAAAATAATTTATCATTGATCTGAGTTAATTCTAATAAAAAAATTAGCCAAAACAGTTCAAAATAAAAAATTTAGCGATATCCTTATAAATTTCGAAAGGGAAATTTCCCAGTGATTTGAGGAAATATAGGAGGGAGGAAGTTGAATAATAAAGATAAAATGAAAGTCTAATTAATATTATAAATAGAATAAGGGTATATATCTCAAATTAGTGTTGTTAATTAGCAAAGTTGAGTTGCTTCATCAAATGGGGACTAATGATATCTATTGAAATATACAGCTTAATGGCCCAATATTTTATGGATGATGTTAGAGATAGCCCTGCAGAAATCTACCTTAAACACTTTTTTATAGGCATTGTAAATTAATTATAATATAAATTTTATCAAAATTCATTGGAAGCTGTTCTATAAATATTTTTAATTTAACACATTATTTGAAATAACAAAGTTCTAATAAAAACTATGACTGATAGATATCAACTTTAGGACTCTTTCAAATTAGTTCAAATCAATTTTTACTTTGATCCCAAAATATTTTCCCCACATCAGGTAAGGCTGTGTATCAGACTCCACAGCTCAAACTTTATAATATATAAATTCTAAAAAAATTCAACACCTCTTCCAAAATATCCTTCAGCATCATTCTCCAAATGTATATAGTCTAAAGTAGAGATCTGCAAAGTTAGGCCCGTATTTTTTAAAAAAATCGGGACGTGTGGAGTTGGTGCGTGGAAATTTTTCTAAATATATCTAAATTTATCAATTTTATATTGAATTTTTTATGTAAAATAAAGATTTTATTTATTGAAACTAAACGCCATATAACATATATTTTTTATTTTGAGTAATTATAAAAATTAATTTTAATAAATTCAGGCAGGGCCGGCAAAACTTTTTAAAAAATTTCGGGTTCGGGCCGGCAAAAACTTTTTTCAAAAAAATTTCAGGCCAGGCCGGGCTTGAAAAATTAGGCCCGATGCAGATCACTAGTCTGGCTAAAACATTCTTGAACATTTTTTAAAATATATTTTATAAATAAAAATTATATTTATATATATAGCTCTGTGCTTAATAACAACATTTTTTAAAGTTAGTTTAAGGCAGTGATTCTCTCTTTCAATTATAGGGGATTAATTACTATTTTGTAGACTTCCAAAATGGTTTAAAAAAAATCATATAAAGAGTTTAAATTTTAGGCATATACAAGCCACTACTCTCTAATTTCAAGTTTTAAAAAAAATATTCTTTATAATAGATAATACACTGGGTTTAATTTATTTCAATTGAACAGATGTAAAATAATATTTTAGTAAATTTTATTAATAAATAAATTAAATAATTTTTTTTCTGCATTTATTTAGCTCCAGGCTTTGCATAACCCTGCGCTATAGTCTCTATACCAAATGAAGATGCATTGTTTTCATTATTTGATGCCTCTTCATCATTAGTCTCTCCTGTGATATTTTGATTTGCAATGTTTAAATTATGATTAGGAGAATCATTATTTTGTTCGCTATTGTCATTTTCAGACCCTATATTTGTTAAATTTCTATTTGAGTCATTGGAATTTGAAACAGTATTTGTTGGAGGGACAACATTTGAAGACGTAACAGCATTAAGATCTGTATTTATATGTGTTATGTAACTTCTAACAGATCGAAGAATATCACCCAGTGAATTGGAATCAATGTGCGATGGTAAATTTGCCTGTGTAGATAGATTGGGATTATCGACAGCTGAGTCAGAATTCTGTAAAAATGTTACATAAGTATAAATAAATAATATAAGGACTTTATGGTTTTAATTTTAATATCTAACATTTTTAATGAAGATATTTTAAAAAAAGGAATTCAAAGGTATTTTTAAAAAAAATTTAGTTTCTTTCTTTTTACATAGGGAAGATTTTAAATTATTTTTAAACGATAGAAATTTAATTTTATAGAAGATTTGTATTATCTTTGGTTTGATATTTACGAGAAAAAAATTCAATTAAAGAACAATATTTTTTTCTTCTAAATTTATAATTGACTTGACGCAGTGAATCACTAAAAGGAGATAAAGAGGTTACAAATCCCCCCAAAAGATCAACCAGTTCGCCCATACTGAAATTCTCTCCGCCTCTTCCATTATTATTATGATTTCCAATATGGTCTAGGGTATAGTTGGTATGATTATTGCGATTTAAAGGATGAGAGTTATCGTTAAAATTGTAATCGGAAGGCTTGCAATCATAAGCTGAAATGCCGTTGGGCGGTGGAAAGGGATCATAGTTACATACATTTCCAGACGGGTAATTAACCTTTAAATTTTTTAAAATATAATTTAGTTATAATGTATTTTTATAAAATAATCATAGATAATTACCATAGCAGTAATATTTAAAACGATATTATTCGTTAATGTTCCAAAAACAAGAAAAAGTTATTCTTTGAAAAACTTAATATAAAATATTATAAGTTATCTGTAATATAGGAGAACGACTATAACCATAAAATGTCATGAAGCACATGTCAGTAAAATACTATATTATAAAATATATTTTAATATATATATATTGAAATAATGTAAGTTTATAATTTGCCCAATAATATATTGATGCAGATGGAATATTTTATTTCTTATCTGAAAAATTACATTAGTTTTTAGTTAAAAATCTCCAATCTAATAAAGGAACTAAAAATAAAATGATCAATTATGGCTAATCTTTTACACATCAATAAAATAATTGTAACAGCATCTTAGAATAATTGTCAAAACAAGATCAAAATAGAATTTATCAAATTTTTATCAAGGCTGTGGCCATATTGAATAGCTAACTATAAACAGTCTTATTTATTTTAAAAAAAATTGTACATAAGGAAGGATGGGGAATATCTTGCCCTCGGTTTGATCGCTTGACTGATTGTGATACTGAGTTAGTAACAAAAAATGACGGCAAATATTCAAAGGAACTTCGGTAGATTCGTATATATTAAAAATAGTGGAAGAGATAGAATCCGAAGATGTTTCATCAGATTTTATGAGGCCCAAATTATCTGTAAAATGTATATCTGGTGATATTTGGTTCAAATTCATGAAAGAGAGAGATATTTCATTACCACTTATAGTTGATCTATAGTTGGATATGGTAGATGAGGGTATGTTATCTATATATTAAGTTAAGCAAGATATATTATCATTTTTAATTTCCGAACATAAATCATCAGATATAATTAACCCAGATAAAAATCTTACAATGCATACTTTTTTTAAGTCTTAAGAACACAATATTTTGAGATAATATTTTATTTATTTATCAATTATTACATGAAAATAACTATATAAAAGCATATTTTAAATCTATATAAATCCATTATCGCGGTAGTATTCGGGTCAGTAATAAAGCGTGTGCCAAAATTATCAAAAAAAATAATTTAATTACATCAATAGAAACAATAGCTAAAACAATCATTCACCATAATTAATGATTTATTTAATTATGAATAATTTATATAGTTATTTTTCATATTTTATGTAATAACTAGATAAATATAATATAGGGTTCCATTAAAACCCCAAAATATCTACAACATAAAAAAGGAAGTATATATCGCGGATTTGTGAGAGAGATCTGCAATGTCCAGAATTCAGGACTGAGCTGGGCAAAAAAATTTTTTGTAAATATATTTGATGGATTCTTATATTACATAGATATAATAATCCATAAAGTATTGTTTTTAATTTATCCACTCCCCAAAATTATAAATAGTTTGAACAACATATATTTTGGCTAAGGCATTGTATTTAAAAAAAATTTAAAACTGGGCCAGGCAATCATAGTGAGAAATTTTTCCCAGAATGGACAAGAACCAAATTTCCACTTGGCCGAGCTGGATAATTTTGCTATGTGCAGACAGACCTATAATTTATGTCCTTTTTTCAAAAAAAGGGAACTATGTCAGGGATTTTTGTTCAGTTACCATCATTATAAAATCCCATTTATTCAATTTTTGATAATTTGGCACGTTTATATTTTTAATTTAGAATTTATAAATTCAATATGCACCTAAAAACTTATTCAATAATTGGTTTTAATCCATACAATTCTAATCTTGTAAATATGAGCAAAATATTTGGTACCTCCAATAATGCTAAAATTAGATAAGTTGCACTCTTAGCTTAGAGGTTATAAATATATATCCAATCTTAAACAATATAATAAAATAACTTGACGAAGTTGTAGGAACATCTATTATTTTATCTCGTGATTCATCTCTGCTTGGATCAAATTTTTGAGCAGACGAATAAAAAGATGGGATAGACGATATTAAACTAAATAAAACATATAAAATGGAAATTAATCATAAAATAAGTGTAAAATTCATTTTTAATAAATAGATATTTTTATTTTTAACGAGTATTTTTACTTATTAATTTTTCCAAAAACTCCATCATTATTACGAATATTATTAATTTTAAAATTATAATCTGTGATGAAAGCATTTGGATCGTTTGCCACAACATTCGTCATCCAATCGAGAAGTAAAAAATCGTCTGCTTCATGAATGCCGCCATTTTGTTTCCATAAAGGATGACATAGGTTCGAGTATCTATTCACAAGTTTCTCAAGCAGGGGTGACAATCTTAAATTAAATATAATTGTAGGTGTTTTTAAGACATAATTATTGTCATTTTAAAGGACACTAAAGTAGTTTAAAATGCTTTATACTTACTCAAAAATATAAAAGTACTGATTACATTACAAAGAATAATTACTTTTTACGCCTAGAGGTTTGGTAAAATTTTTCGAAAACGTCCGATTTTATGGTTTGGCAAAAATTATCCGGGTCAATCCCGCACTTAGAAAGCAATTCGAAAAATAACTTGGGAAATTTGAAGATAGCTTCTTTCAACTGGATTGATAAAATAGTTGAAATTGTTTTATATAGACATATTAAATTAAACCATCTTTTCGGCAGTAACTTCCAAGTTTCCTTCGTTAATATCGATTTCATTTGCCGATCTGTTTTTTTTCTTATTTTTGTTGGTTTTAACGTGGCTAGTCGCTTGCAAAGTTGCAATATGGCAAAGTTTATAAGCCAGAGGAACCGAGAAGCAGTAATTGGGTAGTACGTCAAGGTTGAATTTGGTCTTAATTTTTGTATTTTTAATTGAATACATATCTAGCCTACCAATAAGATCCTCAATACTTATAAAAACGTTAACTTTTATTGTGGGATATTTTGTGACTTTTAATAGGTTAGTAAATAATTTAATAAAATTTTGTACAAAAATGAAACCGGAACCATTGCGATAACGCGCAATTATTACAAACTTAGGATAAAAGAAAATCAATTTATAATAGATTTGGGAAAGGAATTAACAGAAGTCAATGAAGCCCTTTTAGAAAAAATAGGAGAGAAGTCTAAAAACAACCAAATAAATAAAGCCCGTTATCTACCCATATTAAATAATAAAATATATGTATGAAATATTGCCAGAATAATAAAAATTTCTCAAAAAATATGAATCTGAAGATTCTAATATTACTTAAGGTAAAATTAAACGGTGCATATCAATTTAGCCTTAAGAGAAAAATCCATATTAATTGACTGCGAAACTCAGCCGAGGTTAATTGTATCTCGCAAAACAATGCAAATATATTGGATTATGGGAATTAAAAATATGCTTTAATTTTTTAATTTCTTTATTACTTAAACAAATTTATTATAATAAAACTCGATAATGATTGTAAAATCGTATAAGAAATGTGTATTCCTTGCTTTTGAGAGCTAAATAGTCTATCATCAGTAAAATAGCCAATGGATCCTGATCATCTAAGCTTCGGTGGTTTAAAATAAAAGAGGTGGGGGGGGGGGGGGTGTATAGTAAAAAATAATAATTTTATAAAAATAGGAAAATAGATTTGATATCTTACACCTTTCGGCAAAAAATAATTGGAGAAAAACTTGTAATAATTTTCAAAATCAAATTTTAAAATTACGTAAAATTCTCGCAATCTTAATTCAAATTGAAAATGGGGAGAAATAAAGGCCTGCCAAAAGCCGAATTATCCTTTTTCATTTATTTCTATAGGATGCCGTCTGCGCTCTCAATGGCGCCTGAGGGAAGATTTCGAGAATTACTTAATGAGGTAAATAAATACTTTACAATTTAAAATGACACATTTTATTATTTAAAATTTATAGGATAGGTATTCTACATAATAGAATATGTTTTTGGCATAATAGGATTATAAAAATGTAAAAAAAAAACATTTTAACCCTAGTTCCAATTTTTTGAGCGGTTTCTATTGTATTATTAATCTACCAATGATACTTCATAAAACAATTCGGTGTTTAAACATAAAGGAACTTTGCATAAAGAACACATCCATGATGTCTTATGGAATATATTATTTTTGTTTTACTTTTTGCTGGGTTTTAAAGTGAGATTTTGTTTTATTTTTGTGATTTTAATTCTTAAAAAAGTGCACTTGTTTTATTATTTTCAAAGTGCACTTTTGTCTCATTTTTATGAAATTTGATTTTTTATTTATTAAAGGTTCCCAACCCTTGCTACTGTTATACCAATGTAACCATTGAGAACTTTATTTATTAATATGTCATTAATTTGATCCGAAGTAAATAACAATTAATCATTTTAACAATTAATTTACTTTTCAAGGTTAATTTATCATTTTATTATATTTAATCTCTATTACAGCTACATATCCATATTCTATCATAATTCTAATTGTTATCTAAAAATAAACTTCGTAGCGATTTCGATTTGGGATTTTTTCTTTCTTCATCGTCTTATTTACTGTTTATAAATGGTTCGATTTTAGCCAATTTTTAAAAATGGCTAATTCAATATGTTAGCCAGCAAAATATTGCTTAAGCTTCGATATTTAGCTAATAGATGTTCAAACCTTAGTTCAATCTTCTGGATAAAATATTGAGTTCGTCGTTTTTAAAAAGCAGCTCATATCGAGTCGTTTAACAACACTAATCTTATTTACTTGTATTGACAATAAAAAAATTACACTTTATAGCCAATAAATCTATAAAAAAAATTACTTTAACATCAATTTACAGATTTCCAAAGCCGTTCTTGAGCATCCACTGTGATTCTGATTTAGAGCGTGGTAAAAGAGAGCTATATGAAAACATCTGGGAATTATTTTTTAAATTTAAAACTATATATATATATACACACACATACCTATCTTGAAAATATCTCAACCTAGTTATTTTATAAAGATCTTTATAATAACCTAGAAGAATATTTCTTTAGAGAGTTGTTAATAAGTTTGTGGCATATTAAAATTATCAACAATTCATTTATTATAACTAAAATAAACCTGTAATATTACATTTTAGTAGGAAAAAATTGTTCCTCATTCTTCCCTATTAAAGAAAATTAAAAACCACCTATTTTCCCGGTATTTGTATTCAAGGCGAATATTTTGATCGGTCAGATTAAATCTCGAGTGGAAATTTGATTCCATTGCGTAAATAGCTTGTTCTTTTGTTTTAATTGGGAAAAGGGAAATTAATATGATTTCTTATGGTATTAAACCATGTATATGTATATTCAATTTTGAAATATATTTTATAATAAAGGAAATTTGATCTCATATAAGATTTAATTAATCTCGATTACACTGACAATGCTGCCTAAATTAAGGTTGGTTTTTTTAGCAAGCCTAAATGTTAAGAGGTAGCTATTACCAACGCATATAAAATTACCAATTATCTACTAATCAAATTTTACATAATCAGAGGCATCGTGTCAATTTTTTCTAACCCTTAGCTTGAATAGAATGATCCCTAAAGATTTAAGATTGATACTAGGATGTCAAACCAAATCTTTTCTTTCAGTCATAAACAAACTATAAATCTCAGAAGCAAAAATGACCGTTATAAAGGCGGTTTTAAAAATTACATAGCACAGATTATAAGTCGTTCAGTTATGTTGCTTAATGTGTTATTTTTTTTATTGAAGTTAAAATAAATTTTTATTTTTATTTGGCTTTTATTTTAAAAAATATTTTTATAAGATTATAATGGGTCAATTAAATAATATATATGATAAATTTTAAAATATCAAGAAGAAAAGACGGCCGATTAAGTTGAGCCGCGTAAACAGGCTGATGGTTTTAAAACAGAATTGACGTAGTTATTTTTAAACATAAAAAACTGTTTGGTGACGTTTAATAATTGAGATAATTGTTTCCTGAAGAGGGACATCGAATATTCCTCGATGAGAAATAATTTTATTTAGTTTGGTAAATAGCTTAGGTTAGTAGCATGTTGAACAAATAACCTATGTTTAGAACTCATGAAATTAAAAGCACAAGAGTGTATTAAAATGAAAAAAACAAACTTTAACATCGATCCTATGAGCTAAAACCTTTAATTTTACGAAAGCTAAATCTCTTCAGATCACCATATATTAATCAACAATGTACAAGATAGAAATAGAATAGAAACAAAATATTTTATTTTTACATCAGCTTTCTTATCCAGCTTGAAAAATATTTATTTCAACATTTATCATTTAGCTAAATTTGATTTTTAATTTATCCATATTAATTACCTAGATGTTTTGTTTGATATTCCTAGACCAAGGTACAATTTGCATTAGTGACCTGCATCGGGCCTAATTTTTCAAGCCCGGTCCGGCCCGAAATTTTTTTTAAAAAGTTTTGCCGGCCCGGCCCGAACCCGAAATTTTTTAAAAAATTTACCGATGCTCGGCCAGAATTTATTTAAATATAGAAATTAATTTTTATAATTACTCAAAATAAAAGACATATGTTATATATCGTTTAGTTTCAATAAATAAAATCAAATATTTTTATTTTACATAAAAAATTGATAAATTTAGATATATTTAAAAAAATTTCCAAGGTTCAACCCGACCCAGCCCGAATATATAAAATAAAATTAAGCCCAAGCCTGGCCCCTCTAATTTGCATGGCCCGGGTTGGATTTTTTTTAAAAATATTTTTTGGTCTGGCCTGGAATTTTTTAAAATTATATTAAATTAATTTCCAATTTTCATAGCGAATAATGGCGATTTAAAATTTAAAAAATAAAATACGCTGGCCTGTAGGTCTCTGATAATATTATTAATACTTTTATACATTTGTTTTAATATTATACTAATAAGTCGATAAAATATTATAGATGTGACTTAGTAAAAAAAGAATTTTAATTTTTTATTATTATTCGATCATGAAGCTATTTTTGGAAAATGTGAAAAAATACAAAAATTTATATAAGGTTAGACATAAAAAAGATTTAGAACTCGCAAAAACAATGATGAAATCAAGAGTGTTCAAATAAATTATTAAAAATATAAATTAATTTCATTCATTATAATGCTCCGCCATGCCACCAATTAATAGGTGGCGGTAAATTTAACTCGCCAAAACCATCGATGAAAAAATAAAACAAAGCCTCGCAGTCAATTTATATTTCGGCGCATAGATCTAGCTATAGCTATTAGTTACATTTTTTATAGCTAGTTATAGAATATAACTTAGAAATTATAATACATTAAGAGCTAAAAAAAAAAATTATATTTGGACATAGCAATAAATCTATTTACAAAATTTCAGAAAATTCAAACACGCTAACGATACTAAAAATTTACCCTTTCCGAAAAAGATAAAACGCTAGAGATAAAATATAAAGGAGTTCATGACTAACTAATGATACCAAATATAGATCTCTACTATTTATATTTTTGATGAATCTTTATTTTTATGCGTTCTAAAAAAATAAGTAAGATCTCGTTTATAGTAACCACGAAGTTTATATTAAATAACTTTGCTATCGTTTAGCGTTAACTTTTTCATCGCTTATCAAACAGCGCGGCATTTCGAGTCTACTATAAACAACCAAGGCGCTATTTTTACACTTTGAGACCTAATATCTCTTGATCTATTAGCTAGCGGCAAAAAAAAATTAATTTCATTCCTAACAATATATAACTATCTAAAATTTTAATAATGAATAGTTATAAATATTAAAATGGGTCGTTTTAGTCGATTTGTAATAATATTATTCTTTTCTTATTTTTTAAAAATTGTGAAATGAAAATTTACCTATTAGAAGAGCGGCAGATTCATATTCCTCGTGCATTGCAAATGTTATACTGAGTTGAATAAGGGTATCGATGTGATATGGATGATCTCTATGCAATTCCTATAGTTATTTATAGTATAGTGAAATTTGTAAAAACGGTATAATTTCATCATATTTATTTGATCAAAATAATGAAAACATGACGTAATTTAGTATGTAAGCGCTGTTCGTTCATGCAATGTATAATTCGTTCTGAGCAATTTACAGAAGGAAGTAAATAAAGGTAAAATGACTGAGCAATGCGATGAAAAGAATTTTATCCTATCAATTAAATTTGAAAACATATGTTCGATAGAATGATAAAAATAATTGCAAAATTCATGAAATTTCTGAAATATTATTTAAAATAATTATCACTATTTTAGCATCATCTATTAAATTATTTAAAATGAATCCCAGGTCATAATAATTTAAAGTAAATTGAATATACGTATTGATATTATAAAAAGTATTATCGCTGAAACCAATTGTAATAAATTAGTAAAATATTATTTATAGATATTATATATAAAAATAGAATAGAATATTCGAAAATTAATTAATTGAAATATAAATTAGTAGTCGTATTGTTTATAATTAGTAGTCGGCATTACTACAAATGGCGACGATAAATGGAGAAAATAATTCCTTAAATGTAGATAATAATTCCTTAAATGGAGAAAATAATTCCCTAAATGGAGATTCAAAAAAAATAGCGGATTTATCTACGATTAAATTTGATAAATTCGAGTTGGACACTTCAATCCATAGATATTTTTCACAATGGGAACCTGTTTTCGGTTAAAAAACGTAAGCCCATCTGAGGGTCATTCCATGTCAAATCAATCACTTTTCGGCCGACCCCTTTCGATTTTGATGAAAAATCGTAGGCTGGTTATATATGTTCCCATTAGATTAGAAACAAAATTTTAGCGGATTAGCAACTATATTAGCGGAGATATTCGGGGTTAAAGGTCTAAAAAACGTCTTTTTTTGCTTTTTACTGATGTTAAATAACTAGTTTTTAATTTTAAACTAAATATGATCAAATATTGAATATAATATCAATAGCTAAGTTAATAATTTATGATTATGGCAAAAACATCAAAATTAATTTTTGATAAAATATGGGTCATCTTATGGTCAGTTGAAAACTTGAAATTAATATTTCGAAATGTATATGATCTCCGATTTTTAATTTTTTTAAGAAATATTATCCGTTTACTATTTTTTTAATAATTTCTTCAACAATTAGCATGGCTGGATATTTATTTTAAAATTTATTGCGATTTTTATACTTTAGAAAAAATAGATGGCGCTATATATAATAGTTTTAATATGTTAAAATTCATTTTTTTATTGATTAAAAATATTTTAATGTATATATATCATACTAAATCGATTACAATGTCCATTATATATATTTATTTGTAATTCAGATCATAAATTTTTAAAATCTTCACAAATTTAGCCTAATTAAGATAGTTTATAAATTAATTAAATCTTACTTCATCTAAAGGAACACAAAGCATGGCTAGCTTGTGAGATTTCTTCAGAAGATAATATATATGTTCGACCGGTGGGAGTAGAAGGATTGACCAGTGAAAGAATATGAGATTTAGGTAACACTAAAATATCATCTTTCAGGGGAAATTTAAATGAGGCTGAAGGTCCACAAGGGTGTAAAAATCGGATTTTTACTTCTTCATTTGTATCATATTTATCGATTATATATCCTAACCACCATTTATCATCATATACACATGTTACATATCCATTAATATTTTTAAATATAATTTTTTCATTTAAAAACGAAACTTGTTTTATATTATATTTTTTAGAATTTGAATATATTTTGGTTTTTAGTCTATTTTGATCAATGGGAATAACCCCGTGAATTTTTAAGGTCCCATGTATGGGCAGCGCAGAATTAAATCTTTTGCGAAGGGCTAATTCCCCTTCGATATATTCTTGATTGGATATATATTCAAATTGAATTCCATTAATATTTTCTTTATTATATAATTCTAATGGGGTTAGGATTTGATTTTTATTTGGTTTTTGAAGACTAGCTCTGGCAACTAATCTTTTGACAGTTCCCCCGATACCGTCACATGCATTTTTACCGTGAGCAGTGACAAAGAAATGCCATTCGGCAGGAATATTAAAATCGTATTTATGAAGACATATGTTCAGAAAATTTTTGCGATTCTTGTATTGAGACGCGGCTCCATCTGAAAAATATATTATTTTTTCTGGTTTAGAATTAAATTTGGCTGTTAAGAAATTAATAAATTTTTTTTGGTAAAGGTGGACTGCACTAGTATTATGGTTTAATGATTCGGATATAATAACAAAATTTATATTTTTTAAATCTTCTCCAGATTTATAATATGCTACAAATGGATGTATAGTGGCCTGCACGTTGTTCCAATGAAATCCCTGCTTATTAAATGAAGGAATAATTTTCAGAATAATCTAGAATTGTTAAAAATTCCCCATCTTTTAAATTTTCTTTGGAATTCTTCAAAAATAAACTTTGTTGTTTAGCTATAAACGAGTGACGCAGTAAAATTTGAACTTTTTCTAATAAATAATCGATGAAATCATCAACGGACTTTATAATAGTTTCAAGATTTGTTCTATCCACCGTGACATATTCTATACGATTTCTCTGAAACAATTGGTATAATTGTCCCTTAAGAGATTCTATACCAGGGCATTGATCACAATTTGTTAAATAACATTTTGGCTGAGATGGATTACAAATAATTTGCGCCAATAGATAGTTGTAAGAATTTATACAGTAATCTTCTCCTGCTGTAAATTCAGCTATTACATTTGTCATTAATTTCACATTCTGATGAATAGCGCAGACACAAACAGTGTGTGTGCCACTAGCTCCAACTAAATACAGTTTTTTGGTCTAAGTTCGGCAAATTTAGAGAATCCTATTGATATATTTGGGTATTCTTCCTTAAACATCTTGAATATTTCTTTAAGATTATTTAATATAAGTCTTTTTTGAACTGGTTCTTTCTCGCCTTTAACAGATACACAATCTTTTATTCCTGGCATGAGTCGGCTTATTTCATCAGAACTATAAAAATCCTTGACGAGTTTAAATGTTTTTTCGTTTAGTGTCTTTCCTGCCTTATGTTTTGGAAATGAAAGAATTCCACTTTCTTTTACCATCATTTTAGATTTTCTTGCCATGTATGATGTTACGTTGAATTCCTTTTGAATTTTATTTACACTCCATCTTTGAGGCAAAATTGTAAGAATTTGATATTGTCGATTTTTGATAATTTATCAAAGTTATCCTTTAATATAATAAGAATTTCCTCTTTCATTGGACTATCAATCTCGGAATCAGATATTTCTAAAACCTTAATCTTTATTGCTTTTTCAATCTTTTGAATTTTATTTTTAGGATATTTTTTCTCCATTAAACGTTTTCTTTTAATTGGTGATTCTCCAATATTGTGTAATGTTTCATTAATCGATTCAAAGGCATCCTGATTATGGGTTATTGGGGATATAAATTCTTCGGGAATGTGTGGACCAATTTTACTTAACTGGTATCGGCACGAATTACATATTTTTTGTTGAAGATATAAATGATTATTTATATTAAGCATCCATGGAAGAACTGATCTTAAATTTTTTTTAAAATTTTTATGATTCACTTTATTCAGTGGATTGCAACATTTTATCTTATCTTTTAAGGGTTTCATTTAAAAAAATTTATTTATTTTTAAACGACAAGTAAAAATATTTATATGTAAAAGATATGAATCGGTGTTTGTGAAAAAATATTAAAGAAATCAATTTGTATTTTTAGCAACTGTGATTTATCGATTAAATTCGCTAATTAATTTTGCTAATCAGTTTATTTTTAATAATTTTAAGAAAAGATAAAAACAGCTGACTTACTTTTATTAATTTTTTCAGTGTTAAACATATGCTCAAAATTCAAAGACTTTGATCAAAAATTTTATAGAGAATGCTCAAATTCATTTGATACCCAAAATTTTATAACTAGTTTTTTAAAAATCTTTGAAATTTTCTGGTTAATGACAATTTTATAACATTCTTGGTCTTGATGGGTATGACTTAGTCTGGAGGGGGGGATGGGGGGTAGTTGGGTAATTATATGATTTTCGATTTTTCCCTTAATAATTTTCCTGCACTCCTTTAATACTGCTTTTTTGTTCGCATGTTAGTCGGATTTTTTAATTATTTTTAATTTACATTGAAATATTAAAAAAATTATTAAAATTTTTTATCCTGCGAATATCTCAGGGGAATAAGGTTTACAAAGTTATATAATCGAATTTTATGATATATTATACATTAAAATATTTTTAATCAATAAAAAAATAAATTTTAACATATTAAAACTATTATATATAGCGCCATCTATTTTTTTTAAAGTATAAAAATCGCAATATTTTTTAAAATAAATATCCAGCCATGCTAATTGTTGAAGAAATTATTAAAAAAATAGTAAACGGATAATATTTCTTAAAAAAATTAAAAATCGGAGATCATATACATTTCGAAATATTAATTTCAAGTTTTCAACTGACCATAAGATGACCCATATTTTATAAAAGATTAATTTTGATGTTTTCGCCATAATCATAAATTATTAACTTAGCTATTGATTTAGATTCAATTTTTGATCATATTTAGTTTTAAATTAAAAACTAATTATTTGACATCAGTAAAAAGCAAAAAAAGACGTTTTTTGGACCTTTAACCCCGATTATCTCGGCTAATATAGTTGCTAATGCGCTAAAATTTTGTTTATAATCTAATGGGAACATATATAACCAGTCTACAACTTTTTATCGAAATTGAAAGGGGTCGGCCGAAAATCTTGATTTTTTTGCTCATTTGACATGGAATAACCCCTGAATGTCAATATAAAGATATATTTTTAACATTTTTTGGCAATAAGAATATTGAGTTTGTGGACCGTTTTTGTTATCCTGATTCGATCGAAACTTTATCTTTTAAATTAAGTCACTATGTTTTAAACTATTTAAACCGAAATCAACAGCTTTTGCTTCTAGATTTTATTTCGTTAGATTACGGAGAACAACTGAAACCATAACTGAATTTGCAGATAAAATCAGAACAATTGGCAAGCGTTGTCATTATCTTAATGATATTGACGAGCGTTTACGTGATCAGTTTATGGTTGGCATGGAAATACCGGGATTGGAAAGAGATCTTAGAGCTCTATATCCCGACGGTCTTGATAGAGATAATAATGTACTGACTTTTCAATTTATTCTTGATCTGGCATTAGCTTCTGAGCGAGAAATGATAATGATTATGATAATAATTATAAACATCCAATTAAAACGACGACTACATTTGATAAAGGCTATAATAAAGTCAAGTATAATAATACATTTGATAAAGAGAATAATAAATACAAATATAATAATGATAAAGATTATAATAAACTTAAATGTTATAAATGTGGTTTTATTCATAACCGAGAAGTGAGATGTCCAGCTACAAATGCGGCATGTAATAAATGTAAAAAAATTGGTCATTTTGCAGTTTGCTGTAAATCAAAGAATTTAAATTATATAAGAGTGTCATCAAGTGATTCTATTCATAATATTTGGAAGATTCAACAAAATCGAGCAAAACTAACTGCAGAGATAAATGGGTTAGATGTTGAATTTGATTTTGACACTGGTGCACAATCATCATTGATAGGAATTGATATATGGACAAGTATTGGACGACCAAAAATTAGGCCAACCAGTCCATTGACTGCATATGGTGATCATCCGTTAGACGTTAAGGGCGAGACCCAAGTCAATGTTAGGATTGGATCACAGACAAGGACCCTATCAGTGGTAATAATAAATACAACTGGGGTACCTCTTTTCGGATTACCATGGATTATAGCATTCAATTTAGAAATGCCTCGTCAGGTTATGATTAAACAAGTACGCAATTTGGTCAACAATATTGAAAAAGAAAAATGTTGCATAAGACTAAATTCTAGAATTCAAGATTTGATTAATAAACATAAAGAAATTTCGGAAGAGAATCAAGATTCTAAACATGCTTTGGATATTCGAAGTATTAATTTGGATGATATACAATTGTCAGAAAATATTCTACGAAAAGAGTCGAAGCAAGATTTAATATTAAAAAAAGTAGCAATACATATTCAGCAAAGTTGGCGAAACTTTGATCGTCATAAAGATAAAGAAATAGTTAATTTTTATAATCGACGGGAAGAGCTTTCTGTCAATCGTGATGTTATAGAATGGAATGAGAGATTGGTTATTCCTAATAAATTAAGAAATGCAGTGTTAGGAATGATTCACTGGGGACATCCTGGGGAAATTGTAATGAAATCTATTTTTAGATTGTATTGTTGGTGGCCCAGATGTGATGTTGATATAGAAAATTTTATCAAAATATGTTCTGGATGCCAGAAAAATAGACCATGGTTAGAAGTTGATCTAATGCAGAATATCTCTGCTGATGCTATGATAAAACGACTAAATAAATGGTTTGCTAGGTTTGGAATACCCAAGTACAGTGTGTCAGACAAAGGACCACAATTCTTAACAGGGGAATTCCGTAGGTATTGTGATTTAAATAATATACGTTATATACGTTCGGCACCCTATCATCCAAAAACTAATGGATTAGCTGAACGTACAGTACGAACTTTGAAAGGTCATGCGACGAGAGATTCAATTAGCGATCCCGAAGAAGCTATGACACAGGTTTTAACAACCTATCGATTGGGAGAGCATAGCTCCACAGGGAGATCTCCTGCTAAAATTATGTTTGGGAGGCAGAAAACAAGTCTGGATTGGATCCGACCAAATGCCGAACACGAAATAGTAAGGGCCAATGATAAACAAAGCCTTCACCATGATTTACATTCAAAGGAAAGAGAATTTGAAATCTCACAACCTATATGGTTAAATAATGAAAATACCAATGGTTGGAGAGAGGGAGTAATTAAAGAAAGAATAGGACTTTATTCTTATATTGTTGAATCTTCCGGGAAAACATTACGGAAGCATGCAGATCAGTTAAGAAATCGTTTAGTTATCCCAAATCATGAAAGTTCTTTGGAAGTTACAGAAATGGTTGTGCCAATGAATGAAGCAAATTCAAACACAAATACAAATACCACATTACGTTGTTCATCAAGAAACCGTAAACCTACAAAGAGGTTTATTGAAGAAATCTAACTTTAAAATGTTTGAAGGAAATGTAATAAATTAGTAAAATATTATTTATAGATATTATATATATAAATAGAATAGAATATTCGAAAATTAATTAATAAAAATTTGATGTTAGAAATAAATTGAAATATAAATTAGTAGTCGGTATTACTACACCAATCAGCTGTGGTATCGCTTAATAAATTATGCATCGCTCGAGCGAAATCGCGCTTACTATAAATGAGATCTAAATTATGTCAAATTTTTAAAAAAAAATTAAAATGCTTAAGAAAAAAATGATTTACTAATCAAATTAGAATATTATTACATATGTAATAGTTTTTTAACATATCGTCAGAATAGGACTTATTAATAAAAACAAAATCAAATAACCCAGCTTCATATTTTAATATATTAGGCCACGACCGATTTTTTACCTCCCTCTCCCATTCCCACCATACAAAGATTGATATTTGGAAAATTAAGAAATAAAATAAGTAGAAGTTATAACTTTTCAACAAATAATAATGGTGAGTAAATCTTTAGATATAATTGAAAAATTAAAATAGATTAAAAAAAGGACAAAACTGAATAGATATGTTACAAAGTTATGTCCCGTCCAAAAGGTGAAAAAATAGGAGGAAATGTTCCAAATATTACACTTATAAAAGTAAGGTCATTTTCAAAACAAAATTATTGATTACAATGTTAAGGCGTATATAACCATACTGAGATAAAAAAATGAAACCATCTGGCAGATAAATTCCGATAAAATGCTATAAATATGCACTAGTAAAACCAAGGAAAATCTTTGCCGAACGACCCAAGCCGGGATTCAGACCAACTTGGATTTATGATCTTGGCTCTGAAACAGCATACAAATAAGAAAAACACCTGAATAATATTGTCGCTATGATGGATGGGCTAGCTTTTTTTTATCTATAAAAAATAACAAAAAAGGAATGGATTATCTTTTAACGATATTGTTCCCGACAATGCTAAAGATTTTTTACAATTTACAATATTTTGACACCAATTATACTTCTTGTATTATCAGAAGGAGGCTTAATTGAACGATCAATAGCAAACCTTCGATATGGACGCTCATACACAAGTGCGCTTGGAATCAGACGTCGACATGTCAAAAATTGGGCAATAGCGGATTGGAACTTCAACCCCGAAAAAAAGAAAAATCACATAGAAAAATATTTAAAATTTACTAAATTAATATTACATCAAGGATGCTTTAGTTAAAAAAGACTATCATATGTTAAAATTTCCCATTTTAAATCTTAGCCGAAACCCTACTTAAAAAACTTCTCCCACGAATTCGACTTTTTTTTAAAAAATAAATACCTAATTTTCGTGAGCCGCAGTCGCAATATCATTCCAAGAAAGGTCTTATCATAACACATTATTAAACATGATAACATTCTCAGAGATAACGGTTTTTAAATATATATATAATTATAAAGTAGAGATTAAATGCTATTATAATTTTGTGTCATTTTACAAAATAAAAACTTTACCAGTTAAAAAGTGCAAATATAGCATACAAGAATGTACTTATATTTGGTATAGCAATCTGAAGGATTTATAGATTATTTTTACCTTCATTTATGCCTAAATAAAAAATAACCACCAGTGGTTACTAGGGTTGTGCCGATATTGAATCTAGGATCGGGCCGATATTTTTTATTATATTTGATTGTATATATTCATATATATTTTTTTTTATGAAAGGAACTAAAATACAATTTATTTGTTGCAATGTTTAAGAAAAAATAGTTTAAAATTTTACACTATTTTTTGTTATTGCAACAAGAAAATGATTTTAAAATATCTAACGCATCACTTTCAGCTAGGGATGCTGAACGGTTCGATTTAGCCAATTCTAAAAACAGTAAACTCAAGATTTTGGCCACAAGTAAATTACTAAAGCTTATTGATCTTGCCCACAGATGGGAAAAAGGTTTGGACTATAATCTACAATTTCGAGGCTTAGGTGATAATATTTTGTCCAAAATTTTAATTCAGCTCTTTTTAAAAATTGGCGAAATGGAGATGTTTAACAACTCTACATTCACCCATAAACTTGAAAATATTTTAAATGAGATAGTTAACTTTTGGAGAATAAAAATATAAATACACTTAATCATTCGTGAAAATTTGTTGACTTTTTTAAAATAAAAATATTTATATATATGACATTAATACAAAGATAGACGGCAAATAAAAATCAATATAAATATCAGTTCGACATCGGGTCAGTGAAAAATTGGTGGATCGGCACATCCCTGGTGGTTATCTAATTAATTATTTATTATTTTATGTACCATTAACCCATTTTGATCAAAGGCAGAGACAAGGGCGCAAAAAGCTTGTTGGACTATCTGGTAGATTGTGGAATGTTTGAAACAAAAGTGTAAGATTCCATCAGAATTTAAACTTTCGATTTCTACCATAGTTAAACCTTAAAAATATCATTTAAAATACTTATATTTAAGTTATTTGAATCATGTGTATTATTATTACGTGTACAAAAACAAAGATGATCATGGTAACTTCACCATCCCTCTTATTTTTGATTAAGATTTTATAAATAACAATCACAAAAATTTATCCTCTATTTATAAAATTATTAGAAAAAAAGTGTTTTAATTTTTTATATATATATCATCTGTTCATTGGGTGTATTTTTATTTATACTAGTGATAAAATGGGACCCTCATCATAAATAAGGGGAAGGAAGGTGTTGTATTTTGTATTATTTTCTTCACATATTTTTTCTAAGTTTAATGTCCTTTAGATGAATGTATAATATTTTGAATGTTTTAACTCTTAAGCGGTATATTGGAAAAAAAAATATGGTGTGGTTATTTTAGACATTTATTATAACAATTAATTGTGATAAAGATAAATATTAATTAAAACATCATTAAATTTTTTGTAAAAATGTATTTAAAATAAACAATGATATTATATTTAAATATTAATCCTATAATATAAATCATCAATATAGTTGTATTTAAAGGTTAAATAACGAAAGCTCTTGCTAATATCATATCAGAGTTTTAAAAAAAATAGAAAGTATTTCCAATAATATTTTTGAGAATGATGTAATTAATATACAAGAAATTTGAAATAGTAAATGTGAAAGCCTGAGAAAATAAAATGTACAATTTGAAAAAAATTAAATTATATTTATTAAGAAAGAGGTTAAAAATTTAAAAAAAAAATCAAGTCTGGGGTCTAATCCAGAAATTAAAATTAGGTCTACTTGGTTCAGCCCAAATATCAATATTGGGTCATTTCAGGTCAAATCGATTAAAAAAACAAGCTATTTGGATGGCCATCTTTAAAATGAACGAAAATTGGCATGATAATAATCGATGTTGTATATTTTAGTAAAACTTTATATAGCTCAACCAGATCCAAAGATATACGCCTTCATAGTCAATAATCGTACAATGCGTGATTTAATTAAATCTTGTTATTAAAAAAGATACTAAGATATGTTAAAAATTAAGAGAGTTGTTAAAAGATATTTTTTAAATGGATCTAGATACAGATACATCGTCTAAGAATTTATCTAGATACAGATACAGCTTCCAAAAAGTTATATTGAAACAGATACAATTTAAAATGTATCTTTGTACAGATACATTTTTTATTATACTCTTAGATAAGGTTTGAATAAACCTAAATTAGGATCCAAATATAAAAATTCATGAAATGATCTAAAAAATTTATTGACTCGATATCACATTTATCAAAATATTACTAAAATAATGATTTTTAGATATTAATATAATATATGATTAATATAAATAATTATATATCATTAATAAAATATAATATATGATTGAATGATTATAAATAATTATTAGATTTCAGTAACAACCACTGTCTGTTGGCAAATTATATTTTTTTTGTGGAGCTAATGTTTTGATCATTTTTATAAATGAAGGATTTTCAACAATTGAAAATGGCTGAATGCTATCTATAATAAAATCAGTTATTAAATCATCTAAAGTGGTTTGGGTTAAAGCCTGAAGTCTCTTGGAAAAAAAATCAATGGACAATGAGCCTAGTCCAATATTTTCTATAGATTTTTTTCTCCTTCCCCTTTTTTATTTGGATCAAGAGTGTTTGATGTTTTTTCTTAAAATTTAAAATTGTAAACATTTATTTAGTATCTATACCCTTAAATGTTTTACAATGTTGCAAGTTGAGGTAATGCTAACTGAAATTTACATATTTTTTGGTAGACATGACAAACATTTTACTAACAGAGATTTGTTTTCTTTATTTTGAGATATTATTTTAAAATATGGTCTATAAATTGGCCATGGAAGAATGTTGTCATTTTCGCCATCAAATCTTAAAAATTAATATAATAATTAATAGAATAAAATAAAATAAAATACCAATTCTATTGCAATTAAAAATGGCAAATTCCTTGAGATGGATTGTAATACCAGAATTTGCTTGTTATTGATAACTCGGACATAATATTTAATTAATATTTATATATTCTTTTTTATATATAAGTTTTAATATTTTACATATATATATATATATAATTTTTTAATATATATATAAATATTAAGTTATATGCTCATATGAAATAAAATAAATATTCAAGTATTTTTATTTATAATATAAAAAAGCGTTAAATAGAAGTATAACAAAATTAAAAAGTATCTAAAAACAGATACAGATACGTCTAAAATAATATCTAGATACAGATACTTTAATAAAAAATCTATCTAGATACAGATACCACATTTTTATATCTAGATACAGATACCACATTTTTATATCTAGATACTTTAACAACTCTGCAAATTATACATCATTTTAGAGCCCTTAAAAATTTCCATTGGAAAATATCGAGAAAAAATATTAAAAAATTCCAAATATTCTCTTATTTCCGGTAAAAATAAAATTTAAACATTATTGAGATGAAATTTTTGTGTTGATATTTTCCAAAAATGTTTATTACCTTTATATTAAATTATTTTTTAAAAAATTTCGATAGTCATTTTTGTTTTCCAATTTTATTTAAATTTTTATTATTTTATAAATAAAAATATATAAAATAGATGGCGTTTTCAAAAATCAATATAATAATATTTAATAAAAATATGAAATGTATTGGTATTAAAATAAAAAATCAATTAAGTATAACCAATATGAAGTATTGAGGAGATAGATAAGTAGGAAGCTTATATACATGATATTATTATTAAGACACTATATTTTAAAATTTAATTTCATTCTTTTTTAGAACTATGGCTAACCACCAAAAAAAATCCATAAACATATGTTTAGAAAAAAGACTGGTCCAGACCATGGTCCTAAATGAAGGACCAATCATAGTAAAAGAATTTTGGTATATATTGTATGGGGATTTATTTCTTTTGACTGGACTATTTTGGAACCTGAGCCCTATAAATCCTTTTATTTTTTAGCTCCGATTCAAAATTCTTTTGATAAATTATTTAACCAAACAATTTGATTTAAAAAAACGAAAGATTTTATCAATTATTTATTTTTTATTCCTTTCTTTCTATTACATTTTTAAATCGATAAATAGGAAATTTAATTATCAATCAATTATTGAAAATAACACGAGGTTTAAAAAAAAATTTTCCATCCTTGGAGGTAAAAAGATTAGTATCACGTTCAAGTCTTCAGCATACAAATTCTGGACCAATACAATTTAGAAGAGATTAAACTACGAGAAAGATTCAATTTAGCTTGCCCCATTCTAGAAACTCAGGAAATACATGCTTTATTTCCTTTGACTTAAGTAAACTTAAATCAAATATACATGCATATGGAGTGGACTTTAAAATTAACATTATCTCAAGTGCCTGTTTTGCCTTTTTCTATATCAAAGGATTTGTACCATGTGTTTATGATAATTTTTGGTGGTTAGACACCAGAGTTGGGCAGTACCGCTAATATATATATCTTAACAAGATCCTTTTGTATCTTATACTCAGTATCTTTTTGTCATTTTAATACTAATATCATCTAAGATACTTTATTCTGAAAAGAATCTTGTATCTTTTTTATTTTCTTGACAAAAGATACAGGTACAGATTCTTTTTAATATTCATGTTTAAAATTTTACATATCACAGTATATATCTTATTTTCTTCAGGAATCTTGTTTTCCTTTTTTTCCCCGCCATTTTTTAAAGATATTGACAACCAAAATTAGCTGGAAAATTTACAACTCATATTAAGATAAACAGATATAAAGTAACAGCACCAAAACGAAATAAGTTAAGATTATATTTTATATATAAATGTAACTCGATAAAATGTCATAATTTAAAAAATTTTTAATTTGCGGGATGATTAATACTCATTGCGAAGAAGAAAGTAGTGAAATGTAAATTATGGAAATAAGTTCCCCTGAATCAAATTCCAATCTTAAAATTTTAGATGGAAATTTTTTTTAAATAAAAGCTAAAAAAAGACAATGTACATGCTGAATGTAAAACCTGTATAAACAAGAAAATGATAAATGGTTAAACACAATTGTCAAACATATTAAATTATATTATTTATATGTGGTAAAAATGGACATATTATTTTAAAAATTCAAGTTTACAATATTGTCCACATTTATTAAAAGCTGCCCAAAATGTTATGCGCAAAAAATTTTAAGAACATATTTTCATATAATATGAATATAATGATTGGCATGAATACCACGTCTATATTTAAAGAACTTATGAATTGAGTAGGATGATAAAAAAAAACTTTCAAAATATATTATTAAAAGAAGCAATGGTACCACAAGCTCAAACTATAAAACCATTAGATTTAACATCTAATTATGAAAATGATTATTTTTCTTTTGGTGATGTTGCTGAGTTTACAAATATCATTGAACTTGAGGTTTTAAATCATATTAAAGAAAGTTGAAATACATTATAAATGCGTAATTATTATCCTTTCATTAAGAAAATATTTTTAAATATAATAATACCTTCATCAGCTCCAACTGAAAGGTTATTTAGTTATGGCAAAATGTTAAGTACACCATAGCAGCAAAGGTCTAATGATAAATTATTTGAAAAATTTAATTATCTTATAAAATAATGAATCTATTTTAAATAGTCTAAATTAATATTTCAATCCCAATTAATTAAAAATACTAGTCTCCATTCTCTATCTATGCTAACAATGGGCCAATACTAATATTAAAATGCTTGACTATTATAATTAACTCATCATTAAATATTTTATTAAATCGACCAGCGATTCGGCCGACCATCTCAAAAATGAATGAAACTTGGCATGTTAGTTATTTATGTAGTAAATGTTAATAAAATAAAAAATTTAGAGTGCAAGCTCAACCAGATCCAATATATAAGCCTTCAAAGTCGAAAATCACGAAGTTCGTGATTTCATTAAATCTTGTTATTTTAAAAAATACTTAAGATAGAGTTACATATTATATATCATTTTATAGCCCTTAAAATTTTACGTTGGAAAATATTTAAAAAAATTTAAAAATATCAAGTGTTTTCTTATTTCCAGTAAAAATAAAAAATTAACATTGTTAGGAAGGGATTTTTTTGGGTGTTAATATTCACTAAAAATGTTTATTACCTTTATATTAAACGATTTAATAAAAAATCTCAATAGCCATTTTTGTTTTTTAAATTTTATTTGAATTTTTATTATTTTTATAAATAAATAAATGATATAGATGGCGTTATATTAATTTTTTTTATATTATGTAATTTTTAATAAAAATATGAATAGTATTGTGATTAAAATATAAAAACCAATTGAGTATAACCAAGAATGATGTCCTGTGGCGATATGTATTTAGGCAGCTGATATAGATATGATTTTATTAGGACGCTATATTATAAAATAAACATATTTTAACATTTTATACACAAACAATATAAAAATAAATACCTCTTGTTTTAATCTTATCCCATTTTGTGCTTATTAATAGAATTTCTTGAGACGATAATTTGTAGGTACGTCCTGTCACTGTAATAGGATATACTACTGTTATTATTTAATTAATAGGTAACCATATCTTTTCCGCATTTGTGGAGTAAAAGAAGGATGGTGATGGTCCATGGAGATGTAAAAAGGAAATATATATCTCCTCAGTAATTTCATTCTTTTTTAGTACTGTGGATAACCACCAAAAATCGTCATAAATACATGTTACGAATCCTTTAATATCGGCAAAAGACAAATTATCGGCATTTGAGATATTGTTAATTTGAAAGTCCTCTGCATATAAATATATTTTTGATTTAAGTTTACTTAAACTTAAAGGAAATATAGCATGTATTTCCGAGTTCCTGGAATGGGACTAGCTAAATTAAATCTTTCTCGTAGTTTAATCTCTTGTAAATTGTATTGTTCGTTGGTTATATATGTAAAATTTACTGATGGCATGTTTTGTTTTGCAAATTGATATAAATGAACTGGCATTAAAATGTGTCCAGAACTGATGGGCTGAAGGTTTGAACATGCATGCTAATCTTTTTAATGTTCCGCCAAGGCTGTCATATGGACCTTTTCCATGGGATGTAGCTGAAAAATGCCATTCAGCTGCAACACCAAAATCTGATTCATGACACAGATTTATAAAAAAATTTCTGTTTTTATATTGCGCAGCTGATCCATCAGAGCAGTAATATATTTTGTTTGGCTTTTTGCTGAATTGATTGGTCAAAAATTTTATCATTTTATGTTATAAATGTACTGCAATAACATTATGTTGAAGTGACTCTGATATTACCATATAATTAAGATTTTCTATATTGCCATTATTATTATAATATGCTATCATAAGATGGATAGTGGCTTGATTATTATTCCAGTATAATCCTTGAACAGTGTCATGGATTATAAATGCATAATTTTCAGAGAAATCACAAATTATCATAAATTCATTTGGTTGTATAAAAATGTTTAAGTTTTGAAATATATGATGATTGATTGGTAGCGATGATAGGAATAAAAAATAAAATAAGCTGATAAAAACGTTATTTTCAAATAATAACGATAGTAGATCCACAACAATGTAGGAATTTTTATTAATAAGCGAAAAATTATAATAGTTTGAATATAAAATTTTAAAATATGTTTACTTTACAATATACCGTCAATAAAATAATATCTGTATGGGCTGCCTGCTTACATATAGCCCCAGGACATCATTCTTGATTGTACTCAATTGATTTTTCAATTTTAATCACAATACTATTCATATTCATAATTTTATTAAAAATTATATATTATAATATTTTTATTTATAAAAATAATAAAAATTCAAATAAAATTAAAAAAACAAAAATGGCTATCGAGATTTTTTATTAAATCGTTTAATATAAAGGTAATAAACATTTTTGGTGAATTAACACCCCAAAAAAATCCCTTCCTAACAATGTTAATTTTTTATTTTTACTGGAAATAAGAAAACACTTGAAATTTTTTTTTCATATTTTCCAACGTAAAATTTTAAGGGCTATAAAATGATATATAATTTGTAACACTATCTTAAATATTTTTTAAAATAACAAGATTTAATGAAATCACGCATTTCGCGATTTTTGACTTTGAAGGCGTATATCTTTGGATCTGGTTGAGCTAGTACTCTAAAATTTTGATTTTATTACATTTACAACATAAATAAATAACATGCCAAGTTTCATTCATTTTTGAGATGGTCGGCCGAAAATCTCGTTTTTTTGGTCAATTTGACGTGGAATCACTCAAATATTCATTCTTATATGTGTTATGTTTTTCACAAATAAATAATAAAATACACTATTCTTATTTAATTGGTAAGGATATCCTGTATTTTAGATACTTTAATTTAGCAAAAGCTACAAGTATCTTTTATCTTTATGATATTTTGAAAAAGATACTAATATCTAAGTCTAAGATCTGTATCTAATTTATTTGTCTGTAGGACCTGCCCAAATCTGTTAGCCATAGTACTAAAAAAAGAATGAAATTACTGAGGAGATATGTTTCCTTTTTACATCTCCATGGACCCTCACCACTCTTCTTTTATCTCACAATTGAAGAAAAGATATGGTTGTCCATTAGTCAAATAATAACGATAGTAGATGCATATAAGTGATACGACACACCTACAAATCATTGTCCCAGGGGCTGTTTGCTTAAATATTACCCCAGGACATCATATTGATTATACTCTATAAATTTTTGTTATTTTAATACCAATACAATACCTCTTATTATTAAATATATATTATAATAATTGTTAAATATAACACCATCTAGCAAAAACAATAATGAGTATTGTTTATTAAATAGTTGAATAAAAAGTATTAAACATTTTAAAGAATAACAACAAAAATCCATTCTTAACAATGTTAATATTTTATTTTTACTAAAAATAAGAAAAAACTTGGTATTTTTTAATTTTTTCCGATATTATCCAATGCAAAATTTTAAGGGCTATAAAATAATATATAATTAGTAACTCTATCTTAGGTATTTTTTAAAAAACAAGATTGAATGAAATCATGCATTGCACAATTTTTGACTTTGAAGGCATATATCTTTAGATCTGGTTGAGCTATATAAAATTTTGATTTTATTAACATTTACAAAATGAATAACAAATATGCCAATTCAGTAATTTTTGAAATGGTGGTTCAAATAAGTAGTGGGCAATTTGTCATGGAATACCCTATTCTTATAGTAAATATGTCAAGTCCACCCAAGTCCAATTTTGTAGAGATGGGCTAGGATATATATTTGAAAAAATCTATTGAAGGAGGAGGCCTAACTCCAAAGCACCACTCATAATAACTTGATATCATTTGCTATAAAAATTAATAATACTTTCCATTAGATGAGTAAGTATTAATGTTACTAATTTTAAAAACAGATATTTTCAAATTAAATAATATCAAAATTACTTGCTATAATTACATAATTTTTATGTGTAAATCTATAATTGTACTCTGACCTAATTTAGATATTGGAACCCAATTGGCTTTTGTTTTTATTAATTTCATTTTTGTGTAAGCATATCTATATTTCTTTTTCCTCCCATTGATAGTATCATTTTCATATATTAGTTTTCCAAAGATTTTTTTCATTTCAGTTTCTGGGTTCAAATTTCTAATAAAAATATAAAGATTTAAAAGAAGTTGATATACCTCATATCTATCCCACAAATATTGTTTGTATAACTATTTACTGGTATATATTGTAATAAATCAGATTCAATATAATTATTCTCAATTTTATGAATAAGATTTTTGTTTGATTTTTTCTTATTCTTTTTCTTGATTTTAATAGCTGGATTGTTTTTTTCATTTGGTGATAGAGCAGAATTCATAGCTTTCTCATTCTCATAATTTACTTTCTCCACATCTTTATCATCATCTAACTAATATACAAAATTATATTTTATATATTGTTTTAATACCATATCAAATGGATTAATCTGATTATCGCTATTTATGTGGGCTTCAATTTCATTTATAACAATATTTTGATTTTGAAAATCTTCAAATCCCTTATCAATGAGAAACTTTTTAAGAGCACGATTGGACATTGGATTAAATGTAAAACGATATATTTTGCTGATAAGGAAAATTGGTTGGCAGGTTACGTGATAAGATAAGTAACAAATGGACATAAAAACATCTGAATGTTTCAAATATTTTGAAGTTTCAAATATTTTGAAGATTCAAATATTTTGAAGTTTCAATAGACTTTAAGGTAATATAGATAGAGAAATAGAAATAAGAATAAAGAACGCGAAGATACAAGATTACAAACTATGGTCGTCGAAAGAGATATCACTGAAAACGCGTATCAGAATTTTCAGCTCAACATTTATACCAGTTTTATACAATTGTGAGACATGAAATGTAAATGAAACACAAATAAAAAGTTCAGAATTTTATAATAAATGACTTGCTCTTCTATGAACACCTACAACGTGAAGTTATACAGGTCTTATACATCACACTATCTATATAGAACTACAAACAATGTTGTTAGCCTAAATTAAACTATGAATTAATTTATTAAATTATAGAACAACAAAAAATCAATAGAAAAATCTTAAAAAGAAAAGCCAAATACATAAAAAAAACTGGCAACTTTCCTTTCAGTCTTAACCAAATTCTTTTTCATTATAATTAACTCACTTATATATACCTATTGAGGAATATCAAGCTAATTATTAGAAAAGTATAATTCATCTATTTATTTCCATATATGCACTTAATAATTAATAAAATTGTACTCATTATGCCATTTTAGGAAATATTCTATAATCTTAAAATGAGATATAAACTTAACCTTCCTAAATCCATGCTAAATTAAAACATTTATTTAAACTGGGTATGAGATATTTTTAACCAGGGCCGTAGCCAGGAATTTTCACTTAGGGGGGCCAAGTGCTAATTTGGGGGGGGGGGCACTATTTTTTTAAAATCAAACAAATAATTACGCATTCATATAAATTTTTTCCTATTTTTATTAAAAATTTAATAAAAAAATAATACTATAATATGAATATACAAAAAAAAATAATACTATAATATGCATATACAAAACAAAATATTACTATAATAGAATACGGCGATTTTTATTTTTAAATTTTAATATAAATGAACTAAAAGATAAATCCTGCTTTATTCTTTTTTCATACGATATTAATACTAAATTTTGTTTACGTTTATCCTTCATAGACTCTCTACTGCTCGATGTAACTCTCTTTAATGTAGAGAACGAGGTCTCACAAGAAGCCGTTGATATCCCAATGATTATCGCTGCTGAGTAGCATTTATATAATTCTTTAAATGCATGATTATATTTTTTTTATACATAATATGTAAGATGTTTTCAAAATTATGATTTTCTTTAGCTTCCGAAGCTAGCAATCCTTTTACTATCTTCATTTCATGATGCAGTGTTTCCATATTTAAGTTTAACTGGGATTTTAATGGGGCCATTTTATCTGATAAAAAAAATTCAGGGTCAAGGGGGAACAATGTATTAAAAGATTAAAATCATCTTCTGTAAATCGGTCTAAAAAACGATCCACAAAGTTATCTATAATTTCATAATATATCCTTTTTAAAGAACTCCAATTGGAGTCTTTTTCACAATCGAATTCTAGTTTGCTATCAACTAAAAAATCTTGGAAATTTTTAGGCGTTTTACGTACCCGTGATGATTTTTGGGGAGTGAGATTAAATTTTGATAAAAGTTTTTCAGCCTTAATCATAATCAAAGCAAAAGAATTATCACTTCTTTTATTTTTTTAATATATTGATAGTAGAATCAATACAATTTTTAGCATCCACTAAATTAGTACCTACTGATTGTAGATACTTATTTAGTGGATCTATTGTAATTAATATCTCATAAATTATGATGGCTAATATAATGTAATTTATATTAATACATTGAGATAAAAGACCAGAGGCTTCGACTGAATCATGAATTGAAACCTCGGAATTAAGAGTTATATTAGAAAAGTAAAATAATACTTCACCAATAGCCTCAAAATTCTCATAAATAATGCGAGATGTTTCTAAATGACCAGTCCATCTCTAGTCTAAAAGTCTCTTAAGGGTGTGGCCTGTATATTTACAGGATACGTTAAAACGCCTGAAAAAATTATACAATGCATTTGATATATTAAAAAAATTAGAAATAATAACAATATTATTATACCAATTTTGAACCACAAGATGCAACTTGTGGTTGTAGCAATGTATAAAAGGAACATTTTTATTAATTTTTTTTTGAAGAAGTGTTTGCACTCCTCCATTTTGGCCAGACATAACGTTTGCACCATCATATGCCTGGCTTATTATATTAGCTGAATTAATATTTAGATCATTAAGTTGCTTTAAAATGCAATCTGTAATGCTTTCAGCAGAAAGACACTCTAAATTAATGATTCCTATTAAATTTTCTTGGATTTCTCCAGAAAAAATATAGCGAATTATTATGCTCAGATTTTCACAACCTGAAGCATCTTTTGTCTCATCGGCCTTAAGACAAAAAAAAGGCATCTCGCTTTTATTATATTTGTCTGAAATATGTTCAAGCACCATATCTGCCATAATGGATATTACTTCGTTTTGAATCTGTGGTGATGTATACTGGGCATTTTGGGGTATAAATTTCATAATTTTATTTAATTCAGGGTCTTTTTGGATGGTGTAGGAAAACATTGCTATAAATAGTTCAGAAGAATAAATTATGATTTCATCTTTTGCAGCATCCGTAATATTTGTTGAATCAGTCCCACGGAAAGGTAGCTCTTGAACGCTAAGAAACAGCATCAAATCAAATATTGATTTAATATAATATTGATTACGATTAATTTGATCACCTCCCAACATTTTAGTTATTACTGTACCATTGTTTATATTTTGATTTTTATCATGCCATATTGTAATTGAATTTAAATGAGCTTTTGAGCTCTCGTGTTTAAGCAGTCCCTTCTTGGCAGCTAACGCATTTTTCCAATTTCTGAATCCCGTTTGTCCAAATTCATCACTTGGATTACACAAGTATTTCCTACATGGAAAACAAAAGGCAGCGTCAGCTTCTACACTATACTCCAACCAGTCTCGGCCTCTATACCATGATTTTTGAAATGATCTTTGCCTTCCATGGATATCTTTTTTCGCGTAATTGTTTAATTTGATTTGGTTTATTCTGGCCAAGGTCACCAGGGATTTGAATTGAACCATTAGAGGACTTTTTTGACACTAAAAATATTATAATTAATAAATTGTAATGAGGGAAAGGGTCATAAATAATAATGGTCATCAGGATGGGCGAAGGAAGGGCATGCTGAAAATGAACAAACACAAAATTTATCTTGTATTTAAGATACAAGTTACTGTAGTGCCCAACCCTGATGAAGATTATCAGTAAAGTTGATCAGTAAAATTTCAGTATTAAAAACTAGAAAAAAGTCATAAACATTATATCTTTAAAGATTAACAAAAAAATATAATATTTTTATATTTATAAATCAATTACTAGTTGCTTCTTGACAATGAGAGACTGAGCTGCTAGTTGAAGATGATTGAGTCTCTTCTTCGTTTTTATTTGTTTTAAAATCAAAATGTAATAATGTAACACCATAATCTCCTACTCCTATTCATATTGTCAAAAATATATAAATAGAAAAATTTGGGTTAAATTTTAAACTATTTACCATCTTCCTCCTCTTGATTTTCTAGATTAGCTTCATTTATATCTTGAAATATGAGTAAATATATTTATTTTAATAATTAAAATTATTATACAAAAATGATAATATTAATAATAAATGTCTTTCTTTTATCTTATATAAAATATATATATTATAAATAATAATATACAAATATTGCCCTATATCAATATCATATAAGTCATGAAATAATAATATAAATTTATACTAACTATGAGAAGAATCAGTTTCTGAAATTTCTGATGTAGTATTACTAGTAGTTTGTAGAGGTGATGTTGCTTGACATTTGTTTAACTTTAACTTAAAATAAGAGTTTATAATTGATTGTTTCTTCATAATTTTAAAATAAACGCTCTAAAATAAAATAACTGGTTATATATTATAATATTAATGTGATACCTATAGAGAATGTGATACACAACAAAAACAGATGAAAAAAAATGAATGAATGATAATTTAATATTGGGTAAAAATAAAAATAAAACAGGATAAAAAATAATTTTACAAACTAGATATGTTTGTAGAATAAATATTCAAAATTTATTTTAAAAATATAAAAATAATCAATTCTAAATAGACATGTTTTTTGAATATTTTTGAATAAATATTTAAAATTTATATTAAAAATATAAAAATAATCAATTCTAAAAAAAAAATTCAAATTTGGGGGGGGGGGGGGGCAGAAAAATTTTTGGGGGCCACTTTTGGGGGCCGAAGATTTTTTCTGGAGGCCAGGTTTGGGGGCCAAAAATTTTTTTTGGGGGGGGGGCGCCCCTCCCCCCGGGCCGCCCCGTGGCTACGGCCCTGTTTTTAACTATCATTTTACTACCCACAGGCGTTTAAGCATACAGCTACTCTCTGTGTTCTCGGTAACTTCAGCTAGCCTAATAAGTGGTGGATGAGTATTTTCATTTTAAATTTAAACCCTTATTTTTTTCCCAATTTTTGATGGTGAGAAGAATCAAGCGTAGTTCAGTTGCTTTTAACAACATAAATGGGCTATGCGCTAAAAGAATGACGATAATAACAAGTTGAATTTTAATTTTAAGAAGTTCTCTTTTTCTTGAAAAATTGATAAATTATTATTTATTGTTTTTAAAAAATAAAATGCACTATAAAAGATGAAAACATTCTACAATTACAAAATATAATTAAAATTTAAGAAATAATAATAAATATTTGCATTTCCTTATAATAATTAAGCCTAATATGTTTAGTATTACAATAAAATATAGAAAAAACTGCAATTCTTATATGTATTTAGTTTTTGATGGACCAATATTTTTATATATTAAATTCTTTGAGTATTTTTGTAATTCCTTGTGTGAAGATATTAAAATCACCCGGTATTTTTAAAATTCTATATAAGCAAAAATTTTGCATGGATATTTATATTTCGAAGAATAATATAAGTTTTAAAAGTAAATATTCTGAGTATAAGAAAACAATTAAGAACTGGGAAAATCAGTTCTCAAGTATAAATAATAAAATTCCAACCAAAGAGGATATGAAAACGGCCCCAAAAGATATTAAACATGCTTACGTTGAATACTACAAAATAAAAACAAAACATAGGGATCTGCATCAATCATCATTAAATAACATTATGAATAATAAAAAGTTCTCACAAAAAAATTTTAAAATTAGGAGCAAATCATGGAATGATATACCTAGGAATATTATTCAATCATATTTATCGTGTAATAAATTATATATATATTACCATACCATTAAAATATATTCTTTAAGTTTATTATTTATCTATTTTTTTATAAATGATAGTTCAAGAAGAGGAAAAGGAAAATAAAGGCCTCAAAACATTTAGTCAAAAAATACAAAATTTTTCCAAAGAAAATTCAATTCAAAACATTTATGACCAAGGAAATAAAGAAAGAATCAAATCAACTAATTTAACAAATGAAATATCCCAAGTAATGGTAATGTTTAATACCAATTTAATTCTATTATAGATAGCACATAAACAAATTGATAATATTCTTGACCCTGATGAAAATAATGTTTTATTATACCATGAATATGGAGACATTTTTGATGAAATTTATGAGCCAAAAAATTTATTCCCTTCTTATTGTCAATGTAAAAATAAATACCAATTATATGATCAGTCATTTATACCCTTAAATGATACAAGAGATGATCCTTTAAATTCAGTTAAGCAAGATTTATGTGATAGGTTCCAAGCTGACTCCTCAATGAAGAGAAATATAATAAATGATAATCAAAAACTAATAGCACTTACACATTATGATAAGACCAAAAATAATTTAAATATAAAAAGATTGCCTAAAAATAAAATTGTGTTTAATGATAAAATTGTATTATTGGATTTGCTTAATATGAGAACTTTAAAGCAAGAAATAAACAATATTCATGAAGATAAAAACCCAAGGCTTTCCCCAGACCTTTTCGACAATAATTTTATTGACACTGATTCAGAAAACTATATCAAATATGAAATAAATGACTTGTTAGAAAAATATAAAATGCCATTTGTAAATATTGAAACAAAAATGGATACACTTGATAATAATACCCAATATGATATTATTGATAATGGATCAAGTTTGGCTATTGATAATGTTAATTTAAACAATAGTCATTATAAAGCTCAGGTGTACCAAAAACCGGAAGATGCTTTCAACCATCTACAACACTTACTAAATACTGATTCCAAAAAAAACATGCCTCCTATTCATAATATTGTCATTCCTAAATATGACAAGGATCATAAAAATATAAGGCCAAAGAGGGTTAGAAAGATGGCTGAGAATTATAAAAGGATTGATCTGAAGCACAAAAATTATTGCAAAGTTAAAAAACGTGTTAATACAATAAATTACAAAAATGGCAAAAACAAACAATTTTTTAATAAATACAGATCATAAAAATGCCTGTAAACTTTATTCTATTAAAATTCTTCTATGTAAACAAATCGATTTATTCCTCTGAACTTGATTAAATTCTTTCAAAATATAATATGATGTTCATCTTTATATATTTATGAATATGACAAGGGTTTTGTATCATTGCAAATAACTTTTTATTTATATGATATATCTTTTTGGATAATTTAATAAGTATTTTATTATTTATTTGTTTTGTATTGAAGATACAATATTATAGAAAGTATTTATATTAATTAAAATTCCAAAAATGTACATTTGCTACTTTTTACTATGTTTATAAAAAACATTGACATAAATTATATATAATCTCTATATAATTGTTGACGCCGTTTTTATGCTATTTTATAAATAAATTTATGTGAATTACTATTTTTATAATCATTCAGAGGGTCGAAGTATTCACAATGTAATGAAATAATAACACTTACCTAAACTGGCCATTCGTTAATTATTTGATATAATTTACAAAATATATCAAAAAAATATCTTTCAAAATTTGGTCGCCCTTTTTTATAAAAATTCTGGTTATGCCACTGTTAAAATTTGATGGAACTGCAATATAAATAATACGAATCCATATATGGTTTATTATATTTTCGCAGAATTTTAATTTCAGTGATGTAATTTTTCCAAAGTAATTTTCTTAAAAATATATATAGTTTATGATAGAGGTCTGATCTAACTACACGCGGATTGATCATATTCCGATTAATATTTTCTCGGACTTGAATGTGTTTCCACTAGAGATCTGCAAAGTTAGGCCGGGCCTGAGTCCGGCCCTGGGTCTAATTCTATTTAAAATAATCGGGTTTAGGCCAGGTCAGGCTTGATATTTTTTAAAAAAATTCGGGGTGGGCTATGTTGGACCTTGGAATTTTTTTTAAATATATTTAAATTTATCAATTTATTGAATTTTTTATGTAAAATAAAAATATTTGATTTTATTTATTGAAAATAAACGACATATAACATATCTCTTTAATTTTGAGTAATTATAAAAATTAACTTCTATATTTAAATAAATTTGGGCCAGGCCGGTAGATTTTTTTTAAAAAAAATTGGGGTTTGGGTTGGGCTGGCAAAACTTTTTTAAAAAAATTTGGGGTTTGGGCCGGGCCGGCAAACCTTTTTTAAAATAATTTCGGGCCAGGCTTGAAAAATTAGGCCCGATGCAGATCACTAGTTCCCACTAGTGTCAAACAACTATTCAGAAAAATATTATACAAGTCTGAATTTTTTTTAAATTATATTTAATTTAGGCGGTGTTCTAAATATCAAAAATATATAAATAAATTTGAAAAAACAAGCTATTTTTAATGTAAGAATAAAATAGTGTTCTAAATCATTTTTCGTTATTTATAAAAATTTATTATTTTTTTAAAATAAATAAAATTTTGCTTAAAATTTATAAACTTGTGTAATTTTTATGAAAAAACTATTCAGTATTATTAAAGTACTAGTTAATAACCCGTCAAGAATGACAGGGTTGAGGGGTAATTAGTTTGTGTATATGGTACTAAATATACCTAATTAATATATTTTATAAAAATATTAAAATTTAGGCCAAAAGGAGGTAAATTTGTGG